GCAAATTCAATGCGATCACTCTGATTGGTTCAGATTATAGGCCGCGAAGGAAGATCGTTCACATTACTTCGAGGGTTTGTACTTTGGGTTGTGTTACATTACAAAACTCATTATAAGACATACACGACTAAAAAAAACGAACTTATATCACAATGATAAATTTATTTCTATACACAATTGACCAAGCTCAATGTATTGGGCGTTATTTGCCAGATCTGCAAACATGTCCCTGGCGTATTGAGAAGAACTCCCCATGTAACGGAATGAATTAATGAGTCCTCATTTGCACAGCAGTTCGCGATTGGATCTCACCGCAAAAATGCACTGCATATGTATTGCACTGCTTGCATATATAAAACGGTGCGAGTACATAAATCGTCAAGTCGTTAGATTTGTCGCGCCGCGACATGGACAAATCTAACGACTTGTCCTCAAGTCTATGCCACTGGCATTGCGATGTGTGTGGCTTGAAAATTATATGGGCGGATCATAAAACTAAGCTCGCTTGCAGTATCAACATCAGACTTAGACCAAGGCTATACAAACCCGACGTGCCCAAACATACTTTCATGGGATCGTACAAGGTCAGCTTCTATAACAATCACGATACAGACTGCACTGAGTTTCTAGGTTTGTATCGAGTTATATATGCAAATGCTTTTGATGTTTGTTGTGCTCTGAATTGGTGACATTTTGACGCAATGTGGATATGTTCAAGGCGCAGTTCCACGGGGGAGACCACCACAAAATTTAACTCCAACGGTACGGCTGCTTCATCGTACTGATGGCTTTCAGCATCGTTGCGCAGTGGGGAGGCGTGCTTAAGACGGTGCCGCGTGAAAGTTGGCAGTGCCTTTGTTCGTCCAGCAGAGCTCCAGTTATTGAATATCACACGTTATCCACGGAGCCATCTCCTGTCGAACGTCTGATTTATCAAAGCATGCAGATTTATGCAAGCCGCGCGCCAGCCAATCGGAGACGACTTTAATAAATCGTGACGTCATTTCATCCCAAAATCAGGACTAACGCTGTGATTGGTCAATTCGTATGCAGCGTTTTGTAATACAACAACAGCCGGGAGCGCATTCGCGTAACATGATACCGAGCGCCGCGCGCCGTGACATTTTTTTTTTAAATCCATGTCTATGACGCGCAACGGGTGAATGACCGAAGACCCGATAGACCTATATAAAGCGCCTGCTGATTGGTCAAAATCTAGGAAGACAAGACGCGGGGTCTTGCCTAATTAATCAGCTAATTAATTAATTAATCTGTTCGCGCATAATAGACCACGGCATTCGCTGTGGTCTATTACATATGTAGGGGACCCAATGATACCCCTTTAATTTGTTTCATGTCCTTCCTTGTCGTCCTTAGTTTTGTTCGTAACGGGTTGTCCGGAAAAACATTGCGCAAAATGATCTTTAATTTAGTACGTGTAGTTCATTACAAGTTTAAATCATTGGAAATGCGGGCCAAGGACCTTGAAATGTAACAACATTTGTTTATTTTTTATCAATGTTCTCTTTGTTGTAAATTTCCGAGGTTTGGCGGCCTAATATAAACTTTAAGTTTTTCCGAAGGGTTTAGACTGTACTACACAGGCACATAAATGCCGCCCAAAAACGCGGGTTTTGGCACCGCCTGCCCGACTCTTTGCAGGCAATCATGTCCTTTCTTTTACTCCCATTTTTTTAGCGTTAAATTCATTATTTGGTGGAAACTTTTGGGTCAGATGGCCTACTACCTTTACCGCAATTTATCATAGACTGGTTTAATAAGGATGGGGATGGCTTTTGTTGGATTGAAAATGTGGAATTTAGGTGAAGTTTGAGGTAGTGTAATGTTGGAACTTTAACGTTGATTTTTGACAATAGTGACATGTACGTGCGTTGTGATTGTGTAAAACATCACCTGGGTTAACGTGCAAGACTTACGAAATGTATTGGATTGTGGGATTTGATTTGGATTTCATGTGACATCAGTAATTTAACTGTAACATCTATACATGTGTGAGATTAAGTGTAGTTAACCTGGAACTCTGGATCGCTCGCTGTCAAGTTTAGTAGGCATGGCGGCCGTGTTGGATACTCGAGGGCGGGTTTGTGTGCGTGTGGTGTGTGTGTTTGTGGGGGGGGGGGTCCCATCCCCCACCGATTGCGCCCATTGGAAAACAAACGTAAATTTGAACTTCTTACATTTTTTTGCAACATTACTCTATCATGTCACACGCTTGTACTTAACATAGCCTCTACCGTAGACCCAACCTCGTTTCCAGGGTGTCGAGCAGGATACAGTACGCGTTGACATCGACGGTTTTATGCATAGCCCGGAAGTACGCAGTGCAGGCTTTAGACTCCGATGCAGACCGCGCAAGCTATACTAATGGGTGGTCCTTCTATAAGCATTCATGGCACTCGGCGCAGGGGCGGCAAGCAAAGCAAAGGAAACAATAGGGGCACTTCGTGGCCACGCACATATGCAGAAAAATATTTTGCCAAGGTCACCCATGACTACTGTTTGGTGAACACTGTTGTAGAACGGGCAAGTAGAACACGTAAACGGAGCCCTTACGTTGAAGCCGCTGACCACGCACAGTCTTGACTCGAAATAAAGCCAACACAAAGGGCGGCCAGGCAGTCAACGTGAAAGCGCACACGACGCCAATTCCTGTACAAAAACGAAGTCACGAAAAATCGAAGAAACGGGTCGCCGGTCCACAGGCACAGCTTTAAAATACAAAGACTGATAAGCATTATATTTTGTACACAAATTATTTATAAGCACCCATTAGCGACCATCGCCCAACTGATAAATTCACCCCAACAAAATGTACAAATGGAAGCAAATTCCAACGAGTCTGTGCCAACGCAAACAGTTGTACCGTATTTTGCTGCCAAATATGAGCGATATGTGGGTCTAGATAACAATTCCCGAATTTCATATCTAAGGTTTTAAATTGTTTTAAATGACACTCCTAATTTTCATTAAAAAAAGGGACTTAAAAAAATACGATATTAGACGCATTTTGTTGGCATAAACTCGTTGGATCCCTACAGTTGGATCCCTACTGTTTGAACCACTCATTCCAGGAATTTGCTGGTCAAAGTCAAAGAAAAGAGAGGATTAAACTTGGACATATTAAGTATGTCCAGTCATATCAATTCCTTTTCGCTCCTTTTCAATGCACCACACAACCGCTCGAACATCCCCCATTGGAACGATATATGGAATCAGCGGGGTATTTTCAGTTTTAAAGTCATAACTAACAAACGCGGTAAAAGTTTTTGTCCTTAATCGAGTATTATGAAGGCTATATTATAATGCTTCCAATTAATGTGATTTATATTAGAAAAGAAGCCGACTAAACTCCGTCATTTTCAGGATAAACTTCACAGCTCTCCCCAGTTTTTGGTTCAAATTTGTGTGTAAAGTCGCTTTTCCGCTCAGTTTATGCTGCACTGACCATCTTCAACTCGCCATAATTTCCGCTAGCGCCCTCCTTTGACTTTCTTAATCGCACAGTAGACTTTGTGGTTCATAAGCTAACTATCAATGTAAAATTCATCATGATTGGGCAATGTTAACCCCCATCCAAAATGAGACAAAGAATATCCATCCAATAAAGTAAGCTCTTTGATCCATGGACAAGTATACACAATGCAACGTGCCACGTACACACACGTGTGTTGTAGTCAGCGGGACGGGTGTGTTTAGACAATACTCAAGGCTGAAGATTAAATGATAAGAGTGCAGGCATAGCAATTTCAAGAGGAGCATTTTTACTATGGAAGGAATTGAATAGTGTATCGAGTTATACTGTGTACTTATACAAATGCGTTGACGTTTGTTGTGCCCTGAATTGGTGAAATTTTGACGCAATGGGGATATGTTCAAGGCGCAGTTCCACGGAGGAGACCACTAAAGAATTCAACTCCAAGGGCTTGATTGCATTATGCGACGCTCAAAAATTTGTCCACATGGTCCGCAATGAAACAGAAATCACATCCGGTATGGAACGTGTGCATTTTTATGGGAAATTTTCGGATAGCATTTGCGCACATTGTCTAACTGCGCGGTCTTGAACAGCTGCAGCCAGGTGCTTTATACATATGTCATAGGCCACGTCCTTCACAAGATTCTGTGAAGCTCATCAGAGTATTCCAGCGTCCTGTTTACATTGTCTAACTGCGCGGTCTTGAACAGTTGCAGCCAGATGCTTTATACATATGTCATAGGCCACGTCCTTCACAAGATTCTGTGAAGCTCATCAGAGTATCCCAGCGTCGATCTGTTTGCAGGGCGGGGGGTACGAGCGAAGCAACGAACGTACAAATAACCTTTGACTTGCTGCCCTGTCGCGCCACCACCGGTGTGATATGAAAATCGGACTCATATAAAAATCTGACTCCTTTTCCTTTTAATCGGTTAAATCCTTTCATGTGACCTGTCCCTATCCTAATTATCTATGCATGAGCATGCGCAATACCTTAATGAGTCCGTATGTCATAACACCTAAATTCACGCTACGTACACCTGCCGACCGCGCTTGCTTTTCGTAAGCACTAGAAAGTACAAGCGGCCGACCACGCGTATACTATCGATGGTGCTAGAAGTTCACAGAATATTTTATCCTCCGACGTAAAATGGGCCAGAAATCAGAAAAAAAGACTGACATGAAGTGCGGGTCCGTGGTTGGGCTGACCATCCAAAACACGTACGTGTAGGGCGGACTGCCGTGTGGGAGTGCTTCTTCCCGCGTTGACTGATCAGTTTACCGACCACGTCTGGCTGACTGGAATAGCCATCGGTCATGGTAGTATCAGTCGACATATAGCTGGTAAAAAAATGACTAATAGAACAGATGAAACGTAATACTGAGTTTCCTGGTTTGTATCGAGTTATACTGTGTACTATACATATGCTTTGACGTTTGTTGTGCCCCGAATTGGTGACATTTTGACGCACTGAATTGGTTACCATTTGCCGCAATGGGGATATGTTCAAGGCGCAGTTCCACGGAGGAGACCACCAAAGAATTCAACTCCAACGGCTGCTTCATCCTACTGATGTCGTTCAGCGTCGTTGCGCAGTGGGGAGGCGTGTTTAAGAGTCTGGGAGTGCTTCTTCCCGCGTTGACTGATCAGTTTACCGACCACGTCTGGCTGACCGGAATAGCCGTATCGGTCATGGTAGTATCAGTCGACATAGCTGGTAACTAACTTGATGACTCTTTTTGGCCAGATGGCACGTACTTTTTGTAGTTTCCAAGATCTCTGCCTTACATGTTAAAGGGAGGATACAACATTTGCAAACATCATAACTAGAAATGATCAAATTATCACACAAAATTAAACTGGATTGTTAGGGAATGACAGTCTAAAGCATCCTGTAAAATCGTGGCTCCTGGCGTGCTGAAATTTTCAAGAAAACTTCTATTTTTTTAAACGCTGGTCGGCTGACCAGCGTTGGAGAAAACTAGCTTTTCTTCAAAAACTTCTCCAAATTGTTCATATTTAGTTATTCTGCACTTTCTTTGCAATTGATTACACGCTTGTGAATGGGTATGAGCCTGCTATATAGACTGATTCTTTGACCCTACGATTCCCCAAGTCTACAAGTTGCTCCATTTCGTCTTAAGTGGGGTCAGGGAACCAGACTACAAGAACATGGTTAGTTTTCTTGGATTTTCCAGCATCTCCAAACCCAAAACGTAAGGCAAGTCAGTTTAACAATATTTTTTGTAACACACTTATCCTCCAGATCCATTTATTTCTGAAAATTGCAGCAGAAGCAAATGTTGTACATTCCCTTTAACAAGCTGATTTACCCGATCATAGATCAGGTAGGGCGCAGTGTTGGGGATGAAAATGTGGGGAGTTAAATGTACATGGGGGATTTAGTTGAGTAGACATGCAGTTATAGAAAGGCAATTTCTGACCACTAAAACCATTGAATCAGCTATTCTGAGCAATACAATCATTATAGTAGGCTACAATTTTTATTCTGTGATGAAAACTTGTGTGTGAGTGTGGGGGGGGACCAAACAATCTCTCCCGCTTCAAAATGTGTGTGTGTGGGGGGGGGGGGGTCCCCGTCCCCCACCGATTGCGCCCATTGGAAAACAAACGTAAACTTGAACTTCTTACAATTTTTTTGCAACAGCACTCTATCATGTCACACGCTTGTACTTAACATAGCGAGCCTCTACCGTAGACCCAACCTCGTTTCCAGGGAGTGTCGAGCAGGCTGCAGTACGCGTTGACATCGACGGTTTTACGCATAGCCCGGAAGTACGCAGTGCAGGCTTTAGATTGGTCCGATGCAGACCGCGCAAGGTATACTAATGGGTGGTCCTTCTAAGCACTCATGACACTCCGCGCAGGGGCGGCAAGCAAAGCAAGGAAACAATAGGGGCACTTGGTGGCCACGCACCATGGAGAAAAAACATTTTGCCAACGTCACCCCAGACTACTGTTTGGTGAACACTGTTGTAGAACGGGCAAGTAGAACACGTAAATGGAGCCCCTACGTTGAAGCCGCTGACCACGCACAGTCTTGATTCGAAATAAAGCCAACACAGGGCGGCCAGACAGTCAACGCGAAAGCGCACACGACGCCAATTCCTGTGCAAAAACGAAGTCACGAAAAATCGAAGAAACGGGTCGCCGGTCCGTACGGGAAAATTAGGACGACCCGAAGTGTCCGACCCGGCGGAAGACACCCTCCACATTTTTCCACGAACGTGGAGCGATTTTGGCATCGCGGGAGACCGCGGTCTCGGATCCTTTCAGGAGCAAACATTTCTCGGAGGCCGAGTAAAACTTGCTCTTATATATATACAAGCTTATTTACCCGATCATAGATCGGGTAGGGCGTAGTGTTGGGGATGAAAATTTGGGGAGTTAAATGTAAATGGGGATATAGTTAAGGAGACATGCAGTTATAGAAAAGCAATTTCTGTGGTGTGATCTGAGGCAATTTCTGACCACTAAAACCAATTTCAGCAAAAGATCATCTTTTAAAGTTTTTAGTTTGGAGTAATTGAATCAGCTACATGTATTCTGAGCAATAGAATCATTGTTGTAGGCTACAATTTTTATTGGGGGAAGAGAAAGTGGGGGGGCGAACTTTAAAATGGGGGGGGGGGTCCCACTGTCCCTCGTCGATTTACGCACATGATAATTATGTACCATGGCAACTGTCTGTAAATGTTCCCGTTGGTCTGTTAAATTGTCATTTTGTGAGGCAGTCGCATTTGGAAAACGCAGTGAAAAGGTTACCGTAGTACACAGGCGAAGGCTGATTGCACAGTTTTGACAATAAATCATAATGCAATAAAACGTAAAGGTACACAGGCGCGGTTCTAGAACCAATATTTTTTTTGGGGGGGGGGCTAACACGGTGGATCAAGAATTTTTTTTTCAGGGAGGCCTCCGAAAATCAATAGGTGGGTGGGTGGGGGGGGGGGGGGGGGGGGGGGGGGCTCATGCCATATTTTCAAAGCCGGAGCGCCAATAAAATCCTAAAATCGTTCACACTATATTAACTAATGCACCCTTGTCACGGCTATTTCTTCTTTAGGGGGGGACCGTTCGCATGTACATCACACTCCTTCTTTTTGCTAATGCAATTTTTTTTTTTAAGGGAATTTATTTTGGGGGGCTAGACAAAAAAAAATGGGGGGGGGGGTACAGCCCCCCCCCCCCCCAGAACCGCGCCTGCATTTGAAATGAAAATGTTGAGTGTTACCATAAAATTACAAACGGTCTGAATCATGGAGGAAGGTCATAAATAAGTTTCAGTTGGACTCTTCAACAAACGTAAACTTGAACTTCTTACAATTTGCGAGACCGTCTGCGAGGAAAAAGTCGATTTAACTTTTATTGAAGTTGGTTCAACCATCTATATAAGAGCAAGTTTTACTCGGCCTCCGAGAAATGTTTGCTCCTGAAACGATCCGAGACCGCGGTCTCCCGCGACACCAAAATGGCTCCACGTCCGTGGAAAAATGTGGGTGTCTTCCGCCGGGTCGGACACTTTTTCGTCGATTTTTTTGTGAATGCATCGATCCTTCGTTGACCCCAAACAGGCCCCCGAAATTATAACACGACACTGAATTATACGTGGCGGGCAGCGAACTCACAACGCTCAGCCTTGGTGGTGGAAGCATGGAGCTGTAAACACATTATGGAAGCAACAGCACTCTATCACGCGACGTCACATGCTTGCGCTTCAAATAGCGAGCACCGTAGACCCAACCTCGTTTCCAGGGTGTGGAGCTGGCTGCAGTACATGTTACCGTCGACGGTTTTTCGCATAGCCCGGAAATACTACGCAGTGTAGACTTTCGATTGGTCAGACCGCGCAAGGCATACTAATGTGTAGTCCTTCTGGGTATTCGTTGCACTCGGCGCAGGGGCGGCAAGCAAAGCACAGGAAAGAACAGGGACACTTGGTGGCCACGCACCATGGAGAAAAAATATTTTGCCAAGGTCACCCCATACTACCATTTGGTGAACACTTTTGCAGAACAGCTGAGTAGAACACGTAAACGAAACCCCTACGTTGACCTCGCTGACCTTGCACAGTCTAGACTCGCAGAAAAGCCAGCACAGGGGGCGGCCAGGCAGTCAACGTGAAAGCGCACACGACGGCAAATTCCTGCGCAAAACGCAGTCACGAAAAATCGACGAAACGGATCGCCGGTCCGTACGGGAAAATTAGGATGACCCGAAGTGTCCAACCGGCGGAAGACACCCTCCGCATTTTTGCACTGACGTGGAGCGATTTTGGCGCCGTGGGAGCCCGCGGTCTCGGATCCTTTCAGGAGCAAACATCGTATCGGGGGCGAGTAAACTTCTCTCTTATATATATATAGATGTGTTTACTGACCTTTCACCTCTCTGCACTGCGCGCATTCAGTTACCCCGCCTTATTTGCGTGTGAAGCGTGGGAGCGCAAGGTATTATGGGGCGATTTTTAGAAACGTGTTTGTAGTGTTTAGCCGGTGGAGCTGATATCCATTGTTTACCTTAATTTGCCTTGATTATTTTGACGTATTCTACCGTGACATCATGTGATATTTACCTGTGAATAATGGACAACCTTCGGGACCTTAGTGAGCTTCGTGAACCTTGTGAACAATGTGAAATTCGTGAACCTTTTGTGATCTTTGGGACCGAACTTTGTGAACGCATGTAGAATATCGATATCGTGAGTAGCTTGTGATCATCAAGCTTATAAACTGTGATGCCGGTGAATCTTGTATATCGTTACTACCTGTTCAGAATACTCAAGAATAAATGTGATAAGAGGCAGATATGAATAAAGTGATTCAGTGTGTCCACCGTGGCTTAAAACTTACACTACTGATGTTTAATAATGGTCACTCAGGGGCGTACACCCCGTTGGGTTGGCGGATATAAACCTCCACGACGCCACTTGTTTCTTGGTGAGAAACAAAAATTCGGATTTTAGAGGTGTCTTAACAATCACAATGTATTCAATAGCATTGCAAAACGTAGACTTTAGGCCCTAAAGCTTTAAATGCGCCGTTTTGATGTAAGGTTAAGGCGTGTTAGTATAAAGATATGTACATCTGTATAATGAACAGCTAGAGCCCATTAAGGTATACGGTGTCCAACAAGCCCCCCCCCCCCCCACCACCTCCACCCTGCTCTTGGAAGTTCCACGGCTGGGCAATTTTTGGGTTTCGGTCATCTCCGCCAATTAAAGAGGCATATAAATAGCGTCCGGTGAACTGAAATTTCACCAGGTTATGTTGTGCTGTGGCCAGTTGCACCTACTGAAGATTTTGAATAATTGTGTTGTTTCAAAGGAACTTCAATTGCCTGTCAAGCCATAACGAGCTTAACTTGTTGAATAATGACGTGTGCAAGGTCGTATATTATAATTGGGTCTTTTCAAATTGACCATGAAGTTGAGACAATTACAAATAGCTAAATGCAAACATCTGATCAGCATCAGAATGTTTATGTTGACTTTTATGCCGCATAATTGTGATAAAGAACGTTTGTACGGCAACCTTGGCTGTATTGATACAGTCAGTGTTTTAAAGTTTTATAATTTAATAGAAACACGTTTGTACACAGTCAAGTTAACTGACTCGCTTTTGCCAGTTTCTCCAACTTGCCGAAATAGCCTTTAATTGTTTTCGTTAGGTTTTTATTTGTTCATGGCTGTTAAGGCAACTTGCCGAAAACGCAAAACCGCCTTTGTATTCGTTAAAATGTTTCTTTCTTTCTTTCCTTCTCAGACTCCTGCCATATCGTTTGTTCACGTTTCCGTCTTTCATGGCACTTTGGGCACTAACATCCATCCGAAAATTGACGTCATCATGACGTCATCACGTGCCATTAAAGGTCACGTTAGAGGTGCATAATTTATAGGCTTAAATCTACAGAACTACAGGTCCAATTGGGTTTAAACTTGGTATGAAATTAGACAGTAAATTGTTTCTATATGAAAATTAAAGTGACGTCATGATGATGTCATTGCATGTCATGTGACGTCATTTGTGCATTTTTCTAAGGTCCATATCTACAGAACTATAGGTCATGTGGTTGTAACTTGGTGTGTATCTAAACCGGTATGTGTTTGACGTCCTGATGTAGTCACTTGCAAGGTACTATTTCAAAAGCCTATACATGTATCTACCTAAGTATCAAGGTTCATGCCTTGTGTCATTGACGCAACATTGATGTTGCATTTTAACGGTGTGCTTTATTAGGAACTACACACCTCGTCGCTCTGTTACACTCTACTGCATATGTATGTCTTATCAGTTTTATTACATGGCATGAACATGCAAAAACTATAAGTCTATAACGTGACCTAACATTAGCAAGATGCTGAAACAGCTAGGTGTTTGTCCACAAACATAATTCTCGTCTTTCTTGACATTCCGATCAACTTCGTTGCCCTTCATCAAAGGTTGTTACCTTTACTCTCTGGCTGTAAGTTGGCGCGAGCACACTGGTCCAACATGTACGTGACTCAGCATGTAGCCCCCCCCCCCCCACCCACCCCGTGTCTGTCATGACCTCTGTCGTCCTAATCAAGATTGCTTCTATCACCCATCTTGTAAATCGAACTGGTTTTTTTGTCCAAGTTTTGCTGTTGTACCAATCAATAATATTGTGCAAGTTTCCTGAGCTACTTGATCTGAACATTATTGCCGATTTATTTGCAGTCTGCCTTTGAAGCTTTCCTTTGGGCTCATGTGTAATATTTTCCTATGAGACACTGTTTCTTCATCTTTTTCATGTTCTTTAAGTTTCACCTCAAATATTCTTTCCGGCTTCCACGTGTGCACGTTTCACTGTCTCATTAGTGCCACCTGACGGTCAGACGTGTAACGACCTCTGATGATAGGCCACGGTGTTGCTCGAAATGTCAAAAAAAGGAAGTTTGATTGTGTAAAAATAACGTGTTTCTATTAAATTATACATCATTCACAATCAGATGAACCTGATCAAGACGATTTATGTGTGACCGATTAGCCAGAAGACACTATTCAAGGCCTTTGCGACAGGCCTGTGTGTAAAATAACGTTGTGGTTTGAGCCAAAAAACAAGAGGCTATACGTTGTTAGGGCGCACTCGTTGTGGAGTGTCATGGCCGAGCGGTTAAGAGCACTGCGCAATTTTGTGATTGATCAATTAACGACGTTGAAGTACATGTACGCAAGTACGTACGGTACCATGTACACGTACGGGCGCCGCATGTACATGTTCATCGTACAAGGCCAGATTCTGCAGGTTTTTTGTGACACATTTCGTTCACATAATGATACAGAAAGGGGGAAAAGAAAAATCATTTCACAAAACCCTACTGTGTATATATCTCGATATTTAAATGAACATTGCAAGCTATCTGCAATGATTCGTTGGACATTAATTTTGTGCATAAACTTTGGGAATGGAAGAATTACTTCTCACTTTAAAAAGAAACTTATATTATTCATCTCTATTCATGCTTTTAAAAAAATATATATTTTATGAATGTAAATTACTAATTTTATGTACATATTATGCGTATTAAATTGACCCCTGCTTTTCTCTTCAATCATTGTTTTAATTTTAAAAAAATACCTCCCTAATATCTAAAAAGGACTGATAATGCGACTGGAAGAATTACTTAAAGGGAATATACATCATTTGCTTTTACTGTAATTTCAGAAATGGATGGAATTGGGGGGTTGGAAATATATAGCAAATACACTGACTTTTTTGAGGTTTTGGGTTCGAAAATGCTATAAAAACCAAGAAAAACAATCATTTTCCTGTAGTCTGGTTCCCTGACTCCATATATAAGAAGAAACAGCAGTTTACATACATTGGGGAATTGTAAGGTCAGGGAACCAGTCTAGCTGGCTCGTACCCGTTCATAGGTTTGTAATCGATTGCAAACAAGTGCGATGGTCAATTGGGGCCAGTATTTGAAAAAAAAGCCAGTTTTTTTCCAACGCTGATCGGCCGATCAGCGTTGGAAATTGATACAAAAATACCACTTTTCTTGAAAATGACAGTATACCAGGTGCCATGATTTTACAGGATGCTTTACACTGTCATTCACTAACAGTCCAGCAAGGTATTTCAAAATGATTTGGTAGTTTTATTTTTTGATGTTTGCAAATGTTGTATTTTTCCTTTAACACTCCAATTGAGTGCGGACGGATCCCAAGTGCGTAAGCAGCATTACTTGCGACCGCGCTTGCAGCTACTTGCACTGGAAATACGAAGACACCATCAAATGAACGTCGTCCATTGTCCGATCACAAAACGGCAACAAGGCTACGACTATTGCGCAATTTTAGAGCGCTGGACTCAAGCTCTGGTGTTTCTGATCAGCAGAGCGTGGGTTCGAGTCTCTGTCTTGACACTTGCGGTCCTAAGCAAGACACCTGAGCATTATTGCTTCGGATGGGACGTAAAGCCGTAGGTTCCGTGCGATGTGTGATGCACGTAAAAGAACCCAGTAGCACTATCGCTACTAGAGAAGGGGTTTCCGACGTTTCTGGCAGTGGCTGCTTGATGCGCCGCAGCACCTTGTAAACTATTTAAGGTGCTGCATAAAATAAGTCTCATATTTTCAAATACTTCATTTACCTGTCTTTAAAATATAAATTAATATTAATATTCGCCCTGAGTACCTAATTGTTGGTAGATACGTGCGCTATATAAGACTCCGGTAGTACTTTTCTTTTTATCTTTCATTTCGATTTAAATGCTTGTATACTATTTCCGTCTTGTAGTCTCTTCAGTATGTAGGTAGTTGTTACATAACCTTTTAGAATTCTTCCATCCACATGTTTTTCAGCTCTGTTCAGCACACTCCTTGAAGACAAGTTCGGCAGTCGACGGATGATAATTCTGAGCACGCTCATGGTTGGTGTGGGATTAGTGCTGGTTCCACTAGCTACGAGTATCATACACATCGCTATTATTTTAGCCGTCGTGGTTGGTAAGAACTTGTGCCGACACACCAAATGCTGCTATAGTTAGTAAAACAGCTAATCCAAGGGTGCGTGCACAAAAACAATAAAACATCGCGAACATCAGAAAAGTATCAGGTGTTGTATTACGTTCTGCTATACTCGGGTTCATATTTTTTGTACTTCTGAAAGAAAATACTTGTACCAATACAGTACGCGTGCCCATGAAGGTTCTTCGTCGGAGGTAATTAATATGCAAAAATAACGCGACGCAGTTTATGAAGTAAACAGTCAACAATTGTTGAGTGCTGTGATGTTTGACATGCCGTTTTTAAGTACCCTGTTCGCCTCCGGTGCTATGACCCATGAGTGGATTAAACAAAACATATCCCACATCACGGCAGTCAACAATTGTTTTGTTATATCGTGCCAATATGTCAAAAAAGGTAAATGGTTGTAATTTTTTTTATGCAAAAGTGAAGTGAAATCACTGCGATGTAACCTTTGATAACTGCACGCTTACCTGCCGGACAAGCGACTATAAAGCGGTTGCACTTCTCAGTCACGAGCGCGCGCGGGGACAGGCCGTACACGCACGCGCAACATGGGCAATTTACATGCAGCACAGTGTATATAAGATTTATTTATGAAACGCATTGTATATGAAATAGTTATTGACTAGACACGTTGCAGTTCTAGACCATTGAAATTGCAGTTTCCAGCACACGATATAACAATCATTTGTATCGACTGGACGTGTGACACTTTTGAGACCAATGGAATCCAAGACATGATGTAGTGAATGTATTTACCATTTTTTCTTTATTGTTAGACCTTTATTTCTTTCTACTCCTATTGTATTTTCCCACCTTGTTTCAGGCCCAGGCGTGGGGATCGGCATTGTTCTAAGTAAGGCTACTCTGGGACGTTCCTTCAGTAAGCGGTACAGTCTGGCCAGTGGAATAAGCCACACGGGACAAGTGCTCTCGTTGCTTGCTTTTGCACCAATGGTGCAGCTTTTTCTCGATACCTATGGCTGGAGAGGAGCCACCTTGCTTCTTGCCGGGGTTTGCTTTCATCCAGCAGTCTGTGCTATACTTGCCAGAGAAAAACAACCACATTACGAGCTACCAGTAGATCAACATGACCAGCAGGAACCAAACAGCACCTGTAGGGTCTGCCTCAGATCTTGTTTCACTCGTGCATTGTCAACTCTGGATCTCCGAATACTTCTTCAGTTTAATTTCTGGGTAGTTTTCAGTTGCATGTTTGGAATTCGTTTCGTAAATACCGCTTGGTTCCTGTTTTACGTTTCTAATCTTCAATCCAAGGGTTTCTCACCCCAAGCGTCTGCTGCGATATGCTCGGCTTCGGGCGTCGGCTATTTCTTCGGATGCGTCCTGTTTGCGCCTTTTGTTGATAGAGGCCTCGTGAAGTGTTCGACAGCAGTGATAATAAGCAGCCTGGCACTGAGTCTGTCGCTTGTCTTAGATCCATGGTTAAAGGACACACTGAGTGTGACCGTATTGACCGTTTTATACGGTCTGTCCTCATCATCGCTGTTTACCTTATCTGATGTGCTTACCAAGGAACTATTAGGTAGAGACAGACTGACAAGTGCGTTCTCGTGGATTGGATTTCTTGGAATGCTGGCAAACGTCCTCGTGGGATTTTTACCAGGTAAGCACACATCTTAATATATAGAACTTATCAAATTTAAGTATCCTCTCAAAGTCCTGAAAAAAAACCTTGCATGTTGCAGGGAATGTCTACGAAATGATAGACACGAACCGTCGGGAACCATAGTCATGCGCTTTAGTTCGCACGTATCATAGATGCTATCTAGACACGTATGCCGCTAGACTTGGCCCAAGTCGAGTGCTTTGCTTGGTCTGGCAGTATGTATACACTTACACAGCCCACTATATATCAGGACCATTATTAGAATCGGTACGCATACGGGATACGTATATGCAGCTTGGAAAAAGTTTCTTGTGAAATCACCATTTTGCATGGTTATTTCATCTGGCACATTATATGGGCAATCTACATTTCACATCAAAACGTTAAGATATATATGTGGGTTTGTAAATAACCACGTCAGCTAACACACCACGTTGCCACAACGTTGTGCAAAGTTGTGAACATGTTGCCATTTGGTAATGTATCACGACGACGTTAAAGCAACGTTGCCACAGCGTTTGACTGTATATTTGTTGGTTGTAAAAAATGGTGCATATCGGAAAATTTTGACAACGTCGTATGAAAGTCATCATATGACATTGTATTCACGTTGTATGGTGGTCGTTTCACAACGTTGTAATAAAGTAATAAACATGACGTTGTGGTTACGTTGTATGTAGGTGTTTTAATAACGTTGTTTTTAAGTTGTCAATATTACGTTGTCATGCGTAATTTAGAATGTTCACGACGTTGCCGCGAGGTTGTAATCATGACGTTGTGATATCGTTGCATGTAGGTTGTTTAATAACGTTGTTTTCAGTTGTGAAAATCACGTTGTTACGACGTTGTAGTTTGGTATTTCACAACCTTGCTGTGATGTTAAAATCATAACGTTTTTGTAACATTGAATGTGGGTTAATCTCACGTTGTCATGACGTTGTATATAATAATTTACACTTAATTGCTGTGATGTTCCATTCATGACGTTATGATGACGTTGCATAAAGGCATTATCATAATGGTGTTGTTAAGCTGTAAATATCATGTTGTCGTGACATTGTATCTTGGTATTTTTACAGCATTGCTGTGATGTTGTGATCCCGACGTTGCTGTAACGTTTGTGCTTTGACAATATAAGTTGCAATTATGCTGTGCAAATCACGTTGTTGTTACGATCCATGCTTTTATAGTGTTGATAATTGTGTTCTGAACAAACGTTAATTGTGATACGATGTACTGAATGTTAAAATCACTAAGACTGTTATTTCAAGGGAAGAAACAAATCACATAGGGATGTTTTCGTTTTGCTGAAAGAACGCACACTTTTTTTGTGATCCGTGGACAGAACTTCAAAACGGTGGTTGTGTTTAAAATTCCGTAGCTTGAAAAGTACATGAATGATTTGAATGATTCTTGTACTAAAAGAAAGTTTATGAATCGGGCATTCATATCATAGATTTAAAAAGTGCTACATGCAGAACTTCACACCCCTAGTAAGATTATGTTCGATACATGAAAAAGATTCACTACTTGGAACCTTATACCGGCACTCGGAGTCTGGTAGTCTCCTGATGACGAACAGAGCACACTGTCCACAAAGTTGAGTTAAAACAACGGGTTCTTCTAAGACCGACCCAACTCAAAAAAGATAATATTCACATGGTGTTAGGCCTACCCCAATCCTTCCATACTTTGTTCATGTCCACAATGCAAACCTACAAGTCTCATGAAAAATGTTGACAGGTTTAACGAAAGTGCACAAATATGTAAATGAACAGCCCAGTGTAACAATGTTTATGTATGTGCACGAAATTTGTAATTTTTAAATAATTGTTATCTTTCATTATACCCGAACTTGAGCGGGAATTAAGCTGAGATTGACTTTCCACTTCCCAAGGCTTTGAACTCTGATAATTGAAAAAGCAACTTTTTTCTGAGGCGCATACGTTTCCTGTACCCGCACCGATTCTATAATGGTACCATCCGAACTCCCCCGTTACAAACAGATACATTCTTTTAACAACATAATTGGCTTTGCGTTGATTTATTTATATTATCATTTTCTTGTAAAGGTTGGATATACGACAAGACCGGCAGCTATGACATGGCGTTCGTTATCATGGGCATTACACCAGCAGTAGCTCTCATTCCCCTGGTCATTGGAAGAATCACGAAACGGGTATGAGATATGGAAAAGGCACTGTAAATAAATTAGTAAACACATTCTCAAATTGAAAAAGAATAAAACTGCTGCAAACTGCTTACATATACTGACTGGATTGACGTTAAATATATTAATGAACAAAATGAGAGGGCGTAACATTTCAGATCCGAGCATGACCTTTCTGAAAGACAAAATTACAGTAGTTCACAAACAAACAAACAAACACAAACAAACAAACAACAAACAAACAGGGGGCCGGACGAACCGAAGGAGTGTGGCAGTAGGTAAGAATCAAAGGGGGTGAAGGGTTGGAGTAGGGACGGTCGTGCTGTTGGGTGATGAGGGAGAATGAGAGTTGGATGAAGAGCTAGTGGGTGATACAGGGGAAGGACCAAAGAAATGTGGCAGTGGATGAAGTTACCGCGGAGGACAACAAAAGAGGTGAATGGGGCGGGGGGATGAAAAGATTAGTCGTTCCCTTCCTGGATGTTGAGTTTTCTGATTTTTTTTGAAAGAAAATCGTACAGGATTAGAAAGCAGAAATAAAGGCGAAGCGAAGTCTAACATGTTATTATATATCCAATCTATTTCCATCCTCGTCTTCATGTGAGGTAAATTATTAAATGGACAGTTTATGTCTTCATATTGAAGGGATCTCATGCAGTCTTCTAAAGAAACAAATACTAGTAATTGCCTCTATTTGAAATTAAACTTCATACCCATTTAACTGTTTTGATGAAGTTAAATGTGAATTGTTATTTGTTTTGACCTAAACTAATAACGATAATACGCAAAAAATCATGTGACACTGGAAAATTTACACTGTCATAAATGAAAGACGAATGTGTTTATTATACAGGGTGAGTAAAATGTTGGGACCATTGTTTTAGTTACCAGTGTTTTAGTGAAGCTCTGCTTGTAGCACTTTCATAATATAGTTTATAAAAGCCCAATTCATAAGCTTTGTTTTAGTACAAGAATCACTCAAATCACTAAGTGTTCTTTCTTCAAAACCCTTACAAATCACATAGGGATGTGTGTAAATTGTTTTCGTTTTGCTGAAAGAACGCACAATTTTTTTTTTTTTTTTTTGGGGGGGGATCTGTGGACAGAACTTTGAAACGGTGGTTGTGTGTAAAAACTTTTTAAAAAGTACATGAGTGATTTTAATGGTTCTTGTACTAAAAGGAAGCTCATGAATTGAGCTAGATTTTAAATGCTACATGCAGAACTTCAGTAAAAATAATAATCCCGACATTTGGGTTTCGTTTTTTTGTTTACTCTCCCTGTAGTAAGATTATGTTCGATACATGAAAAAATGTTTCAAATACTGGTTCTCCGCCAAGACGGCCCGTTAAACAATGACCACCTTTTATTAAAACAGTTTATGTCTGAAACAAAGTATACAAGATTGCAAGAAGAACTAGAGGTTCGCGTTTCTTGTTACAAACGCAGAAAACTCGGGTAGAAAACTTTTTCATTAGACATTGTGCAGTTAAGTTATGAATATGTTTATGTCAGATAAAAGGATCAAGAACTTTAGCATTTCCAGTACCAATTATTTTGTACAAAAAGAATGCGTCTTTTAGGGTATGATCAATTTCAGTAAACATTTAGGTACACGTGCAAGTTATTTCCGGTTTGATGACGTCATCAGTCAAAAACAGGAAGGGAGGACACTTGTTTATCATTAAATAAAAATAACGCATGGAAATATGGAAATTAAGTGCATGTAATAATAACACCCAGCTTCTGGTTAGATGACGTCACAGTATATGGAAGCAAAAGGTCAATATTACATATTGTAACAGATATCGTTTTGGGGCCAAAAAAACAAGGTCATGAGACAGGGATCATATGACAGATTTCAATTAAAACGGGATGTAAAGGATCAATTTCATAAAAATTTCAATGAGGGTTTTACATTTAAAAAGATTAAAAAGTTTTTGATGTGCCGCTAGAGGGCGCCCTTTCGTGGGATGGATGACGTCAAATTATGTTTTGTGTTTGGCACTCCTCACTTAACACTTCCATAATGTATTTGTCTGTAGTAAAATGCTTCTGTTTTAGAGATAAATTCAATTTCGATTGCACTTCCGGTAACACCGAGAGTGAAGGTCAAGCAGTTTTGTGCCCGGGAATAAGAAATGTTGCTCAAGGCACCGTCTACTACCTCACGAAAATATGAACACGATACTCTATTTAGTTCAAGAGATGTAGGTCAAACTATTTTGTCAAATCGTGCCCTCAAATCGCTTGTAATTTGATACGTGATGACGTCATGATGACGTAACAAGCTTTATAACATCTTCCTAACATGGTACAAGTTCACACCAGGTTTTATGATCATCCCGTAAACCGTTCGGAAGAAATTGTGCTTTGTTTTGATTTCAAGCTAATTTCTTCATTTTGATTTCACCTAACTTTGACCTTCCGGTAGACCCGGAAGTAAAGGTCAAGCAACTTCACGTACAGACAAAAAAAATGTTAATAATTAATGGTCTATCTGATAACAGAATACAAACATCATTGGTTACTTTGTTCAAGAGTTATAGGTAAAAGTAATTGGTCACTTTTTCAGCTAGAATCGCTTGTAATTTGACACCCGATGACGTCATAATGACGTCAGAGTAATATGCACCACTCAGGATGAGGGTCAATGTATATTGAAAGTTACAAGTTCATATCATAAACCGTTAAGGAGAAAAGCCGCGGAAACGTGCAGTTACGAAAAAAGGAAAGAAAGAAATAAAGATTAATCGTAACAACTCCAAAGAGTGGTCGGGTTCTGCCCGACCACTCAATAATTACAATGGGCTAGTATAAACACATAATCGCTTTGCAGAATTTTATTAAATCTAACACAAATTACAAATTACGTCAAAGTACAACACCTTCGAGGTATCTGCAAGAAATGTGTAATTCTGTTTAGATTGTTATCCTTAATTTACTCAACCGTCACAGGCTCCTCAAATTTGACTCGAGAAGATTATTGTTTTTAGATTTAATGCGGTGGTGGGTTAAACTTTTTCTTTTTACTCTTCAAGTTAATTAATTAAAGGTTTATGATTCTGGTGGAGGGTTTGATAAGATACAGTGTTTTTCCTGAAGGATATATACTTTATATTATTTGTTGTGATATCTTGCTTAATCAGATGCAGTCATTAGTTTCCTAAAGTGCGATTAATTTCTTTTATTTCTTGTACATATTATTGTGATCTATGCAGAATGGCTTATTTGTAGAAATAAACCAATTTAAAAAAGTGCCGTCCGATTTTACAGATGACTGAACAGTCTGTTGCACCATACGGGCAGAAAGTCGTACACGTGCATCCATAAATCACTCATTTGAGTAATTAATTGGTTATAGGACGACCGATGTCAAGCCATTGAAAGCTAATCCTGCATTAGGCCTAATCACTCAGTTATTTCTACATGCATGCCAAAATCAATCCGCAATTGGTTTACTCAAGTTGAAGACAGGACTAATGGATAGGACAACTGACCTGTTTTATCCTTGATGCACACAAAGCCAACACAATGTGCACGGAATAGTATGAAACCTAGGGGTATCCGACATACTCCAAAAGTCCAGCCTGTTGTTTGCACGTCTTTAAATCAACTTATTATTTTGGTCTGTACAAATCTATGTCAGCGGCTTGTATTAAGCAAGTCTAATATAATATTAAAAAAAAAAATAGCAAAAGAAAATGACGAAAAAATATGATATTGGACATATATAAAAATGGGGACCGAGTCAAGGCCTATTAAATGCTATTTGCTGTGGAGAAAGGGTGCGTTGCAGAGTTACCGCGATCAAAATAATATCACGATCTATGAACGAGGGAAATATACTCGTCGACACTATATATTGAGATTTTATGTCAGATTGATTAACATTTAAAAATGTCGACTTTCCCACACCAGTTGACAAAATAATCTATCGATAAACGTTTTTGACTACGAGTCAGGAGATGTACAACCAATATATCTAAATACACAGATGGTGATGCTCTTGATCTGTTGTTGTTTTCTACGGATTGACTTGAAAGAGTCACTGCTGTTGGATATAGTCCAGCGGATATGTGAAAAAATTGTGCACTTTTGCATAAAAGTGTGAAACTTGGCACAGATGTTCATATTCATGCGAGAAAATGTTTTTAAAAAAGGGGGGCAGGACTCATCATGCCCGCAGTGAAAACGGTTGTTCCCCACTTCACAAAGACATAATGGCTCCACATCTGGATTTTTTCCCCTCATAAATATAAACGTCTGTGGGACGTTTTATTCGTTCATGAAATATGAGTACAATTTTTCCCAAGGTAGGCATAATATTTACCCCCCATTTTTTAAATGGCTGCCACGCCCCCAAAAAGGTACTTTTGTGGTGGCTCCGAATCTGGAAAACACTCATAGTCTATATAATTATGTCTTTGTGAAGTTTCCTGCTTTTGTAAAAGTGCACAATTCATCGATATTTTGTCACATATCCGCTGGACTAATAAAACAGTTTTCCAGAATATTTTATCATGCAAAAAACCACAAGGAGAAAAACATTTGTTTTTTGGTCGCAAATGTCTGTTCCGCCGCCAGCTACAGCGGCAAAAAGGAAATCACGCAGAAGACTCACGTTCACAGAGAGGGGTGTTAGAGGCATTGAGAGTCCCCCAGTTACACGAGCAGCCAGAACCCTACACCTAGCATACCCCTTTGAATTTATAAAAAAAAAGAACCCCACTAAACGCCCAGCCCTTGGCAAATATTAAACAGCACTCTCTATAGTTTTTTTTAAGACTCAGACGTTTAAAAAATAACTTAGACTAAAAAAAAAATCATATTTACATCAAATTAAAAAAACAAACTCTAATATACCTGGAGTAGGGTAAATTAGATTAAAAACTTTATAAGCAATGATAACTGAAAGCAGACAATATGATCAAATGTTATTAATAAGTCTGTACGTCACAGCCAACATAGACTTGGCCAAGTCTGGGTTGCGTTCGGTCTGTATCTAAATGTGCCGTTTCGCATACGTACACTGTAAACTGTACACGCTGTACCATAACGCGCCCTCATGCGTCAAAGCCAGACCAACCTGTTAAAAACGTATATGGACATGTTATTTTTATGTGAATTGCTAACTTTTGCACCGCATGTATGCACACGCTCTGTAATACCGTTACATGCACACACATGTACGTATAATACGCGTGTTGTACAATGTACATACAGTGTGTGCGCATTGTTATACGGCCTGTGGAACGCGTGCTGAAGTGTGTACCTTGTCATGCTTCTGGAAAGACGTAAACTAAATGATTTTTGCAAAGATACCGACTGAAATTACAATAAGCCTTTTCGGAGTTCCAACTGCGCATTCGTAACCTGTGACAACGCGCATTATTTGTCTCAAATGGCCTTTGACATCATCGCGCCACTGACTTCACAAAAAGGCTGTTTGTGCATTGTGGGTACTGTCAAAGGGCATTTGAGACAAATAATGTGCGTTGTCACAGGTTACGAATGCGCGCAGTTGGAACTCCGAAAAGGCTTATTAAAATTAATCTGTCCTTGAAGAACGTACTTCATAGCTCTTTACACTTGTTTAATCAATAAGATTCCAAAATATTTGCGCATGTAACGTGATAAATATCAGAGTCCTCTTGTATATATTACAAATGGTTTGATATAGGCATATAGCTTTAAAATACAAAGATAAGCATTATATTTTGTACACAAAGTATTTATAAGCACTCAGTAGCGACCATCGCCCAACTGATAAGTCACCCCAACAAAATGTACAAATGTGAGCAAATTCCAACGAGTCTGTGCCAACGCAAACAGTTGTACCGTATTTTGCTGCCAAATATGAGCGATATGTGGGTCTAGATAAAATTTCCCGAATTTCATATCTAAGGTTGTAAATTGTTTTAAATGACACTCCTAATTTAAAAAAAACAACACCCGGGTACTTAATATTAGACGTATTTTGTTGGCATAAACTCGTTGGACCCCTACAGTTTGTTTGAGCTACTCATTCCAGGAATTTGCTGGTCATAGTCAAAGAAAAGAGAGGATTAACTTGGAGTATTTCCAGTACGTACGCCCATATCTCCGGTATGAATCCCTTTTTTTCACCAGTTCGTTTACCAGCACCAATCCCCCCCCCCAAAAAAAAATGAGTAGAGTACTGCCCTTAAGTTAATGAAATGCCCATTTTCTTTTAAATAAAAAACAGAAGTTACCCCATTTGTTTTTTACCAAGCGGCCTTTAACGAAGCCCCCCCCCCCCCCCCTTGATTTTCCGGAGGCCAAGTGACCGGAGAAAAGAGTCTTATTTCAGAGCGGACGGACGAGTGCCCTGTTCACGAACCTTTACCCTCCCTCCCGCAATATTAAAAAATGACCTTGCTACGCGACTTGCATTGCGATGTGTCTGGCTTTGCCTCAGACACAACGCACAATCAAAGGTCAGTTTCTAACAATCGAGTTTCTAACAATCGATACAGACCGCACTGAGTTTCCTGGTTTGTATCGAGTTATACTGTGTACTACACAAATGCTTTGACGTTTGTTGTGCCCTGAATTGGTGACATTTTGATGCACTGAATTGGTGACATTTTGACGCAATGGGGATATGTTCAAGGCGCAGTTCCATGGAGGAGACCACCAAAGAATTCAACTCCAACGGCTGCTTCATCCTACTGATGTCGTTCAGCATCGTTGCGCAGTGGGGAGGTGTGTTAAAGAGTCTGGGAGTGCTTCTTCCCGTGTTGACTGATCAGTTTACCGACCACGTCTGGCTGACCGGAATAGCCATATCGGTCATGGTAGTATCAGTCGATATAGCTGGTAACTAATTTGATGACTATTTTTGGCCAGATGGCACGTACTACTCGTATAGTTTCCAAGATCTTTGCCTTATATGTTAATGTGCTTACTCACCTTTCACCTGTGCACTGCGCGCATTCAGTGACCCCGCCTTATTTGCATGCGAAGCGTGGGCGCGCAAGGTATTATAGGGCGATTTTTAGAAAAGTGTTTGTAGTGTTTAGCCGGTGGAGCTGATATCCATTTTTTACCTTGTTTTGCCTTCATTATATTGACGTATTCTACCGTGACATCATGCGATATTTACCTGTGAATAATGGACAACCTTCGGGACCTTAGTGAGCTTCGTGAACCTTGTGAACAATGTGAAATTCGTGAACCTTTGGTGATCTTTGTGACCGAACTTTGTGAAAGCATGTAGAATATCGATATCGTGAGTAGCTTGTGATCATCGAACTTTTAAACTGTGATGCCGGTGAATCTTGTATATCGTTACTACAGGTTCAGAATACTCCGGGGGGGGGGGTCAAACCCCCCAGCTCTGTCCAAATTTTTTTCCATACAAGTTCCTAAAAAATAAGTCGAACACCCCCCCCCCTTTAACACCTAAAAAAATTGTTACTGGAATAATGTCTGCCTGTTGAAAATACAGTACACCCTTCTGTAATCTAGTGTTAATAATCGTTGAATTTGAACAGCGCCCCCTATTGACAAATGGTACCAGCTCCCTCCCCCCCCCCCCCCCCATATTAATATGCGCCCTGAGTACCTAATTGTTGGTAGAAACGTGCGCTATTTAAGACTCCGGTATTACTTTATTATTAGCTTTCAGTTCGATTTAAATGCGTGTATACTATTTCCGTCCTGTAGTCTCTTCATTATGACGGTAGTTGTTAAATAACCTTTTAGAATTCTTCCATCCACATGTTTTTCAGGTCTGTTCAGCACACTCCTTGAAGACAAGTTCGGCAGTCGACGGATGATAATTCTGAGCACGCTCATGGTTGGTGTGGGATTAGTGCTGGTTCCACTAGCTACGAGTATCATACACATCGCTGTTATTTTAGCCGCTGTGGTTGGTAAGAACTTGTGAAGACACACCAAATGCTGCTAGATAGATAGATAGATAAACTTTATTAAAATCCAAAACTGGAAATTACATATTGTCGTCTCTCATTAAAAATATTTAAAAAATTCAACATACGCTACAATATTCAGGAAATAAATACACAATCACATCAAAACATTACAATTGCACACAGTATAAAGCACTAAAAACTTTAGAGCGTAAAAAAGCACATGTAAAATTAATGCAAAACCCATTCCCAAAGTAGAACCAGAATAAAGGACTAAGTATAAAAATTATGTCAAAAACTGTGAAAACCCGTTGCTTCTCAGATACCAGAATAAATTAATCCTTTGGATAAAAATCATCTTGTAAAATCATCATTATGACACTTAATGGCCCTGCCTGTGAAAAATGAAGAATATCGGTTTGTGTGTGCAACCGCTGGTCTCAGTCTTCCGCTGCGTGGAATGATGATATCCTTAAATCGGTTGTGGAGCGGATGCCCAGCATCTCCCCACACCAGTTGTAGCTTGTCACGCAGCCGTTGGTTGTAGACCGTGTCCACTGATGGCAAACACTCACCGAGTATCCTACTAGCTCGTTTGATGGTATCGTCAATTAATTTGTTCACTTTCTAATCGGTATTTCCAGCCCAACATAACAAACATTAGGTCCATACACTACAAATAACCGAGTTATAGAATATTGTCTTGATTTCTTTCCTGACATCAAATGTGTTCAGTTTCCTCAAACAGTACATTCTTGAGTTCAATCTTTTACCTACATGACTCACATGGTTGCTCCAGTCTAACCTATCATCAAAAACAACTCCAAGATATTTATACTCGGCAACACGTTCTATTTCATGTCCATCAATTTTAACTGGATCCGGCACCAGCTTATAAGCTTTGCGGAAGTCAACCAACATTTCTTTCGTCTTTATGAGATTCAGTGCAAGGAAGTTACGTTTACAGTATTCGACAAACCGACTAATTTGCTCCATGTAAATGGACTCTTTGTTCTTTTGAATCAGACCAATAAGGGCAGTGTCATCTGCATATTTTACCAGTGGACAACTCACATCAGTAGAGCGGATATAGGCTGTATACACAGTAAACAGAAACGGTGCTAAAACAGTGCCTTGCGGAGCTCCAGTACTAGAAACTATAACATCAGAATGGGTGGAATTATTAAGACGCACAAATTGTGAACGGCAAGTCAGATAATTTAAAATGAATCTCACAACAGTATGGGGCACAACTGACATGTCAAGTAGTTTCTGTGCAAGAATGTGGGGCTGCATGGTATTGAAAGCCGAAGAAAAATCGAAAAACATAATACGAGCAGAGTTTCCAAACCTAGTACGTTCTAAATGAGAATAAAGTTTATCTAAACAAAACAAAATTGAATCCTCAGTACAACGCCCCTTGGTATAAGCAAATTGCAATGGATCGACAAAATCAGTAATCAATGGTTTCAAATAATTCAAAACAAAACGCTCACATATCTTCATTGCCACGGAGGTTAACGCAATTGGTCTAAGGTCATTATTGCACGTGACCACTGACTTTTTAGGAACTGGAATAATACATGACCGTTTCCAAATGTTCGGAATTGATTGGGTGGTGAAACAAAGATTAAAAATGAAAGTAAAAATGTATGACAATTGATCGGCACACTTTTTGAGGAGGCGAGGAGAGAGTCTGTCTGGACCAGCAGACTTAGACTGTTTCAACCCTAGAAATTGCCGATGTACCTCATCCTCAGTAACAGTTAAAAACGGGTCAGAATTAGCTCCTATATTGAATGAACTCTGAAGGTCACTATGCTTACTGGTAAAATCATGACAGTCAAACCTGTTATAGAATGAGTTAAGCTCGTTAGCATAGTCAATTGTTACAGCAGGAAGCTGATGGGATTTGCTAGGCTTAGAGTAGCAACTCATCATACGCAGACCGTTCCATACTTGCTGCATGTTATTGTCCGTGAAGTGTTCTTCAACCTTTTCTTTATAAACTCTCTTTTCGTTGCGAATGGCGCGTTTTAGTTCTTTCTGTATTTCCTTCAGCTCAGCTTTATTTCCTCGTCCAAATACTCCCTTTTTCCTGTTTATCACCTCTTTAACGTATTTTGTGATCCACGGTTTGTTGTTAGGGAATATTTTCACCTTTCTAGATGGAATTAAAGTGTCCTCGCAAAACTGAACGTAGCAGCTCACCGTGTCCGTCAGTTCATGAATATCCTGTGCGGAATCAATGAAAACAGACCAATCCGTGCATGCATAACATTCTTGTAAGCAGGTTGAAGCTTCAGGGGACCACTGCTTGAATTCAACTACACGTGGTTTGTCTCGCTGCACAATAGGTCTGTACTTAGGAATGTATAGGTCTGTACTGTACTAGGTCTGTACTATAGTTAGTAAAACAGCTAATCTAAGGGTGCGTGCACAAAAACAATAAAACATCACGAACATCAGAAAAGTATCAGGTGTGGTATTAAGTTCTGGTATACTCGGGTTCATATTTTTTATACTTCTGAAAGAAAATACTTGTACCAATACAGTTCGCTTGCCCATGAAAGTTCTTCGTCGGAGGTAATTAATATGCAAAAATAACGCGACGCAGTTTATGAAGTAAACAGTCAACAATTGTTGACTGCTGTGACGTTTGACATGCCGTTTTTAACACCCTGTTCGCCTCCGGTGCTATGACCCATGATTGGATTTAACAAAACATATCCCACATCACGGCAGTCAACAATTGTTTTGTTATATCGTGCCAATATATCAAAAAGGTAAATGGTTGTAACTTACTATGCAAAAATGAAATAATCACTGCGATGTAACCTTTGATAACTGCACGCTTTCCTGCCGGACATGAGACTAGGCGGTTGCACTTCTCAGTCACGAGCGCGTGCGGGGACAGGCCGTACACGCACGCGCAACATGCGCAATTTACATGCAGCACAGTGTATATAAGGCTGCATCCGAATCTGTTGTCTAGAGCTAGGTCTAGGTCTTCGCTCCATTAGAAATACGCGGAGACGTGCTGACAATAGACGTAGCCGTAGCTCTGGAAGCCCGTTTCGGACACGGCCTAAGATTCATTTATGGAACGCATTGTATATGAAGTAGTTATTGACTAGACACGTGGCAGTTCTCGACCATTGGAATTGCTGTTTCCAGCACAAGATGTAACAATCATTTGTATCGACTCGACATGTGACCGTTTGAGACAATGGAGTCCAAGACATGATGTAGTGAATGTATTTACCATTTTTCCCGTATTGTTAGACCTTTATTTCTTTCTACTCCTATTGCATTTTCCCACCTTGTTTCAGGCCCAGGCTTTGGGATCAGTTATGTTCTAGGTAAGGCTACTCTGGGACGTTCCTTTAGTAAGCGGTACAGTCTGGCCAGTGGAATAAGCCACACGGGACAAGTACTCTCGTTGCTTGCTTTTGCACCAATGATGCAGCTTTTTCTCGATACCTATGGCTGGAGAGGAGCCACCTTGCTTCTTGCCGGGGTTTGCTTTCATCCAGCAGTCTGTGCTATACTTGCCAGAGAAAAACAACCACAGTACGAGCTACCAGTAGATCAACATGACCAGCAGGAACCAAACAGCACCTGTAGGGTCTGCCTCGGATCTTGTTTCACTCGTGCATTGTCAACTCTGGATCTGCGAATACTTCTTCAGTTCAATTTCTGGGTAGTTTTCAGTTGCACGTTTGGGATTCGTTTCGTAAATACCGCTTGGTTCCTGTTTTACGTTTCTAATCTTCAATCCAAGGGTTTCTCACCCCAAGCGTCTGCTGCGATATGCTCGGCTTCGGGCGTCGGCTATTTTTGGGGATGCGTCCTGTTTGCGCCTTTTGTTGATAGAGGCCTCGTGAAGTGTTCGACAGCAGTGATAATAAGCAGCCTGGCACAGAGTCTGTCGCTTGTCTTAGATCCATGGTTAAAGGACACACTGAGCGTGACCGTATTGACCGTTTTATACGGTCTGTCCTCATCATCGCTGTTTACCTTATCTGATGTGCTTACCAAGGAACTATTAGGTGGAGACAGACTGACAAGTGCGTTCTCGTGGATTGGATTTCTTGGAATGCTGGCAAACATCCTCGGGGGATTTTTACCAGGTAAGTACACATCTTAATATATAGAACTTATAAAATTTAAGTATCCGCTCAAAATCCTGAAGAAAAAAAACAACCGTGCATGTTGCAGGGAATGTCTACGAAATCATAGACACGAACCGTCGGGAACCATAGTCATGCGCTTTAGTTCGCACGTATCATAGATGCTATCTAGACACGTATGCCGCTAGGCTTTGCTTGGTCTGGCAGTATGCATACACTTACACAGCCCACTATATATCAGGACCATTATTAGAATCGGTACGCGTACGGGATACGTATATGCGGCTTGGAAAAGGTTTCTCGTGAAATCACCAGTTTGCATGGTTATTTCATCTGGCACATTATATGGGCAATCTACATTTCACATCAAAACGTTAAGATATATATGTGGGTTTGTAAATAACCACCCCAGCTAACACACCACGTTGCCACAACGTTGTGCAAAGTTGTGAAAATGTTGCCATTTGGTAATGTATCACGACGACGTTAAAGCAACGTTGCCACAGCGTTTGACTGTATATTTGTTGGTTGTAAAAATGGTGCAGATCGGTAAATTTTGACAACGTCGTATGAAAGTCATCATATGACACTGTATTCACGTTGTATGGTGGTCGTTTCACAACGTTGTAATAAAGTAATAAACATGACGTTGTGGTTAGATTGTATGTAGGTGTTTTCATAACGTTGTTTTTAAGTTGTCAATATTACGTTGTCATGCGTAATTTAGAATGTTCACGACGTTGCCGCGAGGTTGTAATCATGACGTTGTGATATCGTTGCATGTAGGTTGTTTAATAACGTTGTTTTCAGTTGTGAAAATCACGTTGTTACGACGTTGTAGTTTGGTATTTTACAACCTTGCTGTGATGTTAAAATCATAACGCTTTTGTAACATTGAATGTGGGTTAATCTCACGTTGTCATGACGTTGTATATAAGAATTTACACTAAATTGCTGTGATGTTCCATTCATGACGTTATGATGACGTTGGATAAAGGTATTATCATAATGGTGTTGTTAAGCTGTAAATATCATGTTGTCATGACATTGTATCCTGGTATTTTTACAGCATTGCTGTGATGTTGTGATCCCGACGTTGCTGTAACGTTTGTGCTTTGACAATATAAGTTGCAATTATGCTGTGCAAATCACGATGTTGTTACGAGCCATGCTTTTATAGTGTTGATAATTGTGTTCTGAACAAACGTTAATTGTGATACGATGTACTGAATGTTAAAATCACTAAGACTGTTATTTCAAGGGAAGAAAACAAATCACATAGGGATGTTTTCGTTTTGCTGAAAGAACGCACACCTTTTTTTGTGATCCGTGGACAGAACTTCAAAACGGTGGTTGTGTTTAAAATTCCGTAGCTTGAAAAGAACATGAATGATTTGAATGATTCTTGTACTAAAAGAAAGTTTATGAATCGGGCATTCATATCGTAGATTTAAAAAGTGCTACATGCAGAACTTCACACCCTGTAGTAAGATTATGTTCGATACATGAACAAGATTCACTACTTGGAACCTTATACCGGCACTCGGAGTCCGGTGGTCCCCTGATGACGAACAGAGCACACTGTTCACAACGTTGAGTTAAAACAACGGGTTCTTCTAAGACCGACCCAACTCAAAATAGATAATATTCACATGGTGTTAGGCCTACCCCAAACCTTCCATACTTTGTTCATGTCCACAATGCAAACCTATAAGTCTCATGAAAAATGTTGCAGGTTTAACGAAAGTGCACAAATATGTAAATTAACAGCCCAGTGTAACAATGTTTATGTATGTGCACAAAATTTGTAATTTTTAAATAATTTTTATCTTTCATTATACCCGAACTTGAGCGGGAATTAAGCTAAGATTGACTTTCCACTTCCCAAGGCTTTGAACTCTGATAATTGAAAAAGCAACTTTTTTTCTGAGGCGCATACGTTTCCTGTACCCGCACCGATTCTAATGGTACCATCCGAACTCCCCCGTTACAAACAGATACATTCTTTTAACAACATAATTGGCTTTGCGTTGATTTATTTATATTATCATTTTCTTGTAAAGGTTGGATATACGACACGACCGGCAGCTATGACCTGACGTTCATCATTATGGGCATTACACCAGCTGTAGCTCTCATTCCCCTGGTCATTGGAAGAATCACGAAACGGGTATGAGATATGGATAAGGCACTGTAAATAAATTAGTAAACAAATTGTCAAATTGAAAAGGACTAAAACTGCCGCAAACTGCTTATATATACTGACTGGATTGACGTTCAATATAGTAATGGACAAAATGAGAGGGCGTAACATTTCAGATCCGAGCATGACCTTTCTGAAAGACAAAATTACAGTAGTTCACAAACAAACAAACAAACACCCCAACACCCCAATAAGCAAACAAACAAACAACAAACAAACAGGGGGCCGGACGAACCAAAGGAATGTGGCAGTAGGTAAGAATCAAAGGGGATGAAGGGTTGGGGCAGGGACGGTCGTGCTGTTGGGTGATGAGGGAGAATGGGAGTGGGTGAAGAGCTAGTGGGTGATGCAGGGGAATGACCAAAGGACTGTGGTAGTGGATGAAGTTACGGCGGAGGACAACAAAAGAGGTGATATCCCCAAGATGGTTAGCCAGAAGGATAACCTTTAACAAATGACAATGGGGGGGGGGGATGAAAAGATTAGTCGTTCCCTTCCTGGATGTTGAGTCCGAGTAATTCAATAGTCTGAGGAGGCTTCATCCACACCTTCTCATAGCATTGTAGGCCAATATTCCGGGCTCCAGAATGCCAAAATCGCTTTAAAAAAGTTTGACCCTACACCATTTCCTCCCCTTAATTTTTTGTTTGTATACGATGCGCGTATTTCTTCCTCATTACGAATCGGGACGGTAGAAGAAAAATTGACCCGGCGAAGGTGTATTTTTTTAGGACAAAATCGTAGTGAAAATCCAACGTAAAAGATAAGGAAAAAAATTGCCTGGTACCCCTTTCACCAAGGCTCGTTTAACGACGCGTTATTTTTGGTACCAGTCTCTGTGAGTGCATGCGGCCAACCTCCCCAGCTAACAGATTGATGTTTTAATAACGTGGTAAATATGTTAAGTCTAATGTTGTCATGACATTTTTGCAATAATGTTATGGCGACATGGTCTCAGTAATGTTTTAACGACACCTTCCTGACATTAATGTAAAACGTTTGTCTGATGTTTTCATTATGTTATAATTCATCAATCAATCTTTTTAAAACATTTGGTAAAAACGTTTTAATAATATCGCTAATGTATACCTCACAAAACGTCAAATTTCAGGCATTTCAATAACGTTTTTAAAACATTTTGTAATGTCATGAAATTTCCTGCATAAATCTTTGTTCAAAACATTGTGTAATAACGTTTTGATGATATTGCTTTAACATACCTGATGAAACGTCAAAATTGAGGCATTTAAATCACGTTTAAAAAAAAATTTGTATCATGATATATCCTCCATAAATATTTTTAAAAACATTTCGTAAGAATGTTTTGATAATATTGCTTTAACATACCGGATAAAACGTTAAATATGAGGCATTTAATCACGTTATTAAAATGTTGTTGTGTAATCGATCAATATTTTAAAAACATTTGGTAAAAACGTTTAAATAATATTGCTTAGACATACCTGATAAAACGTCAAATTAAGGGCATTTCAATTACGTTTTTACAACATTTTGTAATGTCATGAAATTTCCTCGATTTTGTTCAAAACATTTTGTAATAACGTTTTGATGATATTGCTTTAACACACCTGATAAAACGTCAAAATTGAGGCATTTAAATCACGCTTAAAATATTTTTGTATATATCATGATATTTCCTCCATAAATCCTTTTAAAACATTTGGTAATAACGTTATGATAATATCGCTTTAACATACCGGATGAAACGTTAAATATGATGCATTTAAATCATGTTATTAAATTGTTGTTGTATAATGTGATATTTCATCGATTAATCTTTTTAAAACATTTGGTAATAACGTTTTGATAATATCGCTTTAACATACCTGACAAAACGTCAAATTCCAGTCATTTTAATTACGTTTTTAAAACATGTTTGTATATGTCATGAAATTTCCTCCAGAAATCTTTTAAAAACATTTGGTAATAACGTTTTGATAATATCGCTTTAACATACCTGATAAAACTTGATTTGATTTGATCCAGTATTATGTCACATGAACCATACCTGATTATATCATTAAAAATCTTCAAGAGAAAATGTCTTTTGTATAAAAACCGTGTTGAAAGAATACTACAGATGAATAAAATATTGCTCCACGTTCACGAATTTACACGTACGATCTGACCGTGAATCTGTCATTTCTGGTGGGGGTTTCCGCAGCGACAATCGGTATGGTTTAATCGTGTTCACGCGGAGCGCGCAGAGTTTGTTTTGTAGTCGTACTTTAATCGTATGTCTTGTGAATACCAAACTCAAGAGACCAGAACAACTTTCTCCAAAGAGTGAAGACAACACTTTACAGCAAACGTGGTAAGAAGTAATTTTATTAGTTACTTTCTTTGCTTTAGTTAAGGCCTAAGTCTAACCATTTAGCTCCAAGCTCTAGTTTTTCAAATTCGCAGTGCGATTGTGTAGTTTAGGACACCTTTTTCTTTTTCAGTTTTAATCATTCCAAAATTACTTTTGCAATCTCAAGTAACCTTCATTAAATTCAAATTAGCTTAGTTTTCATAATTTCCAATAGCGCTTTGGTTTCAAATGCGACTTTCAACCTGATTTTCTTGTCATGCTTGTCCGAACCGTAAATGTCATATTGCAGTCCAGCGAGGTCATAATGCACTGACTTGCAGCCAGCACTGAACATGCTGACGATTTTTTTATTTAATCGTCGATGTTTTACCTCATAATTCAAAACTCTCCACCAAATTATTCCTGCCACATCGCCAGCCAGCTAATCCTTTTAGTATTTCTGCACTTTCTTTTTGCAGATAAAGCTGATTTATTTTTCGAATGAACATGCGGTTGAGTGCTAAAATAGAGTATATCAATAATAATTCTCACTAAGACGGGGTGGGACGTATAGACTCCTGCTGTTTAATTGTTCTTGTTTGTTGTTTAGGTTATTGCTTAGTTAGAATGCTACCTGTAAATGTAATGCTTGTCTTTTTGATAATTCTGATCCAATGGCTTCACCACCAAAAGGGGAACCCCATTCATTGTTTAATCATTCTGTTGTTCATCTTGCCTGCAGTGTTTTGCTTTTATGTGTATCAATGGGGTAAGGATAGGCATGACAGTAGAACCCCTGGCCTTTTTTGTCACGGTGATTTATAAAAAAACATACTTATGGTGATTTATACAACAACATACTTATTTTTTTTAACTCTTTCATGTGGCTCTTTTTTTTCTTTTACATTTTGTACATCAGTGGAGAACCCATTATTTTGTCTTAGTGATGTATCTAGTAATCTTATTATCGTATGCTTTGACCGTCTCCTGAAGACGGTCGGAGCATAGGCCTATACTGACCGGAACGTCGAGTTTATACCTCAGGTTCTTTTCAGAACCATTCTCTTAGTTGAGAAATTATTCGCACATGGTGTTTCTGCAAACCTCTCATCATTTAGTATCTCCACCATGCAAAGCCTCAGATTTTACTTAACAGGGTGAGTAAAAAAAGTGACGCGGATTAAAGATGTTTTCTGAAAGAGCAATCAAATTTGAAACACCATTCAAATCGGAATCAAGCATTTTCTTTATAGAGCATGCATGTTCTTCAACTATTTTGAAAAAGAAAAGCGTTACTGAAATTGATTAATGCTATCCGAAGTTATGCATGGCTTAAGAACCCACTTTTATAGCTGTCCATGGAATGCCATTTGGAAGTTATTGAGCTTATTGAGAATTACAGATTACAAATAAGCATTCGAATATAAATGAGATTTTAATTATGAAATCAAGGCAAACCTTATTTTTATCGTTAGATTTTGTGTTTTGAATATGAGGAACGAGAAACTTTTCCCCCGAAATATTAAAGGCGATTTTTGTATGTTTTCCGTCACAAGTTCGCATTTATTCATGGAGGTGGGAAAATGTCCATGTTTCATTGTACCCAACGCCACGGGTATTCATCAGTTCGTAGAACAGTAAATTATTAGTGGTGGACAGCCGAGTTTTGTGAGACTTTTAATGAAATAGATATACGTGACATTTTCACAGTTAAAAGTCAGTAAGATGTACTTTATCCCAAAGTTTCTTTATGAATATGAAGCCAAATAATTTAAAAATATTTTTCGAATTCGGTAAAATGGGGGGCTGGTACATTTTATGGGGGGGGGGGCTTCATGTAGATCAATGATAATTTTTTTAGAAACTCAAAATCTCAGTGGGGGGGCGACTGGGGGGCGACAAGGCTGTCGCCCCCCCCCCCCCCCCCCCCCCCCGGCCCCCCCCCCCCCCCCCCACCGTGGCTCCTACGCCACTGATTATGACGAGGGTCATTTTTATCCAAAGTGTGGAACCACTTGAAGTTGTATATCTGGGAAATGCCGCAATCTCGTGTCTTGACAACTCGGCCAGTACTGTACACTGACTCGGGATGCTGCCCCATATGAACTCTCCATAGTTTCCGTCGCAGAAGGTGATCGTCGCATAGTCTGAGCACGTCAGCACGGTGACCAGAATCCGCGAGGACGGCTCCGCAGTCACTGTCCAAAAACAGTTGTAATCAAATTGGCTGTCCTCCGTTGTGAAAAAACCGACTACCTGAAGCTTCTAATGCTATATGCGTTTCTCCACAATAGCCTGCATTTTAAGAATGAATTATGCAGATGACACTATGATAATGTTTAGTGGAACTTTGCCTGATGCTTTACACAAAGATATGCTTACTGGTCTCCATCAGGTAACTAATTGGTTCATGGAAAATAAGCTTACGCTGGATGTCGACAAAATTAAGTTCATGGTATTTGGAACACGTCCTCGATTGCCTAACCCTAATAATGTTCAAATCTCGATCACTGAGAGGTGATGTAATTGAGCGCGTTAAGGTGTACAAGTATCTTGGTGTTATTGTGGACGAACACTAACGTGGGCTAACCATATTGACCACACAGCCAAGAAGATCTCCAAAAAATATTGGTTTTCTCAGACATTCTGCCAAGCCTTGCCTTCCTCAACCCACATTCAAACTTTTAAGTAGTGCCATGGTCTTGACTATATTTGATTATTGTGATGTTGTTTGGTCTAGCTGCTCAAATTCCCTTTCTGACAGGCTGAGCCTAGCTCCACAATCGCCTAGCCAAAATGACTCTGAGCGCACATCCCAGAACACACATTGCCGATCTACACGATGCTCTCTCGTGGACCACATTAAATAATCGCTGGCACCATCACAGAATGTATGAAGTTTTTAAATGTGTAAATAACCTTAACCCAAGTCATAGGCGTAGCCAGCGGGGGGGGGGGGGGGGGGGGGGGGGGGGGGGGGGGGGGGGGGGGGGGGGGGGGGTAAGGGGGTATGTACTCCCCCAATATTTTGTAAAGACTGCCTTCTTCCATTCAAATGCCCTTTTTTAAACGGACTTACCCCCAATAACTTCTAAAGAGTGCCCTTTTTTTTACGAAGTGTCCTTTTTTCTGAACAAGTGTCCTTTTCAAAAATTAAGTGATGCCCTTTTTTGTGGCATCTGCCGTTTTTGGTGCCTTTTTCAGAATTTCTTACATTTACCGTCCTGAAATGCACCATATATTGGCCATTTGTGTGCATAATTGTCGGTTTTGAACAGCGCCCCCATCGACAGATGGTACCAGCCCCCCCCCCCCCCCCCGGGCTCCCTGCACATGTCTTTTGTTCCCAAGACTAACGCGACCAAGCGTTATTTTCAATATCTTGGGACCCTGGACAAGCTAACTGCTTCTCAAAGGAAGGCACATACTCTGTCTCGGTTTAAACATCTGTGCTATTAATTACTGTGTTTTATCTGATATTTTATATTTTATTATATTTTATTTTAAGACTTGCTTTTTCATCTACTTAAAATTTTTATGACGTCCCGTTTTATTTGTTTTTTTACTTTACTTCTTTGAATTGTGGGACATTTTATTTATTTGTTTTTCTAGTGAATGTGTTTTAGTACAGCCCTAACTCGAGGGTTGGTTGAACAACTATAATTGGTAATTTGTTTATATACATGAAGGCCTATACTAGCAACTACATATATTCTCCATGACATACTCTGACTGTGTACCAAATGTTATGTCTTCATCATCAAACTGAGCGATCTTATCACCAATCTAGCTATAAAGGATTTATCAGCTTTCGTTAAAGTAGGTTATGACACAATACACTTTGGTATAGATTGCTTGAAGATTGGTTTAAATATAAAATGATTATAATGATAATTAATAAGGCCTTATTTTTAAAAAAAAACGACCATTAACATAAACAGTTAAGTAATTGTTTGTTCACGCCTTCCAATTTTATTAAGTGACCGCTGAGCAATTTTGTGCGGTGCTCCTAAAACGAGTGTTACATCCGTGCAAGCAAAAAGTCGTATGCTGCATCCGATTAATCAGTAATTAGCAAAGAAAATAGATGTCAAGCCATTATCGCTCAGTATCACTCCCCAGGCCTCCCCCCCCCCCCCCCAGTTCCGCCGCCACTGGGCTCAAAATATATCATATCTGTTTCGGCTCATAATATCCACCGAGTTGAACCTTCCGACAAGTTAGTTGTTATTAAAAATAAGTGGCGGCCGCTGTACAAAAAAAATATATTCACACTTTTTTATGTGGCGGCCGCCAGAAAATAAGTGGCGGCCGCCACATAAAAAAGTGTGAAAATATTTTTTTTGTACAGCGGCCACCACTTATTATGTGGCGGCCGCCAGATAATAAGTGGCGGCCGCCACATAAAAAAAGTGTGAATATATTTTTTGTACGTGTGAAAATATTTTTGGGTACAGCGGCTGCCACTTATTATGACGACTTATGTGGCGGCCGCCACTTATTATCTGGCGGCCGCCACATAATAAGTGGCGGCCGCTGTACACAAAAAAATATTTTCACACGCACCAAAAAAACATATTCACACTCATTGAGTGGCACGTTTATCCGTCTTCCGTATTTTTCAAGACGGCTTTCCGGCTTTCCGAAAAATAGGGGTCATCTTCTTTGGATGAGAATTTCTCAAAAAGTCAATGGTCAACCCACCAAAAAGTGAAAATAAAATAAAAGATGACATGTTGGTCATCATTTTTTCTGTGCATCTTTAATACCTGTGAGAGTTCTTAGTATTTTTAAAAGAATTTTGAAGTGTGGGTATTTAGCACTGGTGTCTATGGGAATTTTAATAATAACGGGGATGCATTCATCGGGAGCGGAGCGTCTAGTCGAGTCTGGCACCTCCATATCGGATATCGTACACCGGATTCATATTCAGCAACTACGGCAACCTCGTCCCCAGGGTGTCGAACAGTACGCGCCCATCACTACCTGCTCTCTCACCCTGGTATTGGATCATTTGCATGTGCAAGATTTTTGAACACGTATGCAAATGAGGAATAGTGTGGTGCCTTGGATATCCTTTACATTAGCGTTTGTTTTTGTATGCGGTGTCTGGGGTAAAAACAGAGTCAATTCGTCGCAGCACGAGCACGGCGTGAGTTACGAAAACACGATTTTTTAAATTAAACTGTTACGATCTTATCGAGACAACATGCAGTATCACATTTCATATTAATATGAACAAACTGGAAAGGAAATTAGTATTTTCGAGAAGGCGTGGACGAATGATCGCGAAAACACGTACTGCACGTTGTGATTAATAACACCAAGTACACGATAAAAATCCATTACTAGCCAATTGCGGTATCGAATCAGGATACAGGAAGAAAGTTTCCTATCCAGGGTTTACTATTGGAAACGAGGTTGGAAATAAAGTAAGCACTGGGGACGAGGTTGCAACTACGGTATCTTGAGTTTGATCTCATAAGTCAGGACACGAGACGTTGTGCGCATGCGCATTAAACCTAACAACGGCAGCCGATCGGCATAACAAACTTCGCTCACGATCACGTACGTAGAAATACGGATTCGCCAATGTGTAGCACTAGCAGTTTAACGTGACCGACAAATTACTTTTTTTATAAGCTGAGAACGGTGTACAGTAACGTCTTTCACTGAATTTGTTCAGTTACCGTTTTACCCTCGTTATGTTTTAACATAATACTGAGAATCACTTGAAAATTGAAGCGTGGACTTGACATCAGCAGCGGGAGGAAAGAGGAACACGACGGCGGTGCTCGGAGGTGCTTGCCACGCGGTTGCATGTTCTTATTGACCTTGAAAAGTAACTAAAATTAATGTTTGTCAGAACTATTGGATATCTCAGTTTATTGCTGATTATTTGTAAGAAACAGCATGGATATTCTTGTACAGTTTCTTGCCTTATTAACAATCCCTCAGAACGATTCCTACATGTCATGGCCTGGGCTAGGCTGTCACGAGAATGTGTACGCACCGGCGCTTCGCGGAGGTGCTTTATGGGGGCTCGTCGCGCTGAATGACCGGCGTCACAATCACATTCACGCGCTATAACGCGGAGCGCCTGTGTTGTAAAACTAAGATAGTGCAGTCCATTTCTGATGTCACAGTTAAATTGAAGTTTGTGTATAGAGTATGTACAGTTACTATAGTTTATGCATTATGATGATATTGTGACATAACAAGTGACATTAATTGCAGTGGTAACTCACAATATAGGGGGCCTAGGCCCTAGTTACTTTAACTTTTTGGTTTTACTTTGAGTTACAACACCAATCCCAAATTTGTCTGTTGTGTTAGAAGTGAACACTGAACAAATCTTTTTGTGATTTTGAAGATAATGAAATAGGCTTACATTTTACAAACAACAGCCAAAATGCCTAGAATAGTGGGGAAGAAAAACACCAACACTATAACGGTGGAGTTCAAGCCAAGCTCTGGGGATTTATCATCAGATGATGAATTCCAAGTTGAAGATGAATATGGGTCTCTAGCTCAGACACCAGTCTCGTACTCGTACCAGGATGAGACGGTAAATTGGAACAGCCCTGTGACATAATCATCGAAATCATTTATGGGGTGAAACAAGAAGAAGAGTGCATGCAAAGCTGACTTGAAATTAATGCAGTTGGCATATGTGTAAAAATTCAAGTTCAGCTGTGTATTTGGTCATTTTTTTTGAATGATTGTTTAATACTTTGTAACCAGATCACATCATGCAGAGTCATTTTGTGATACATGGTCAATTGTCATATTCTTTGTAGTATACCTTTTTACAGTTCTTCACTGCCAAATGTGATTGTAGTGTAATTTGTTGAAAGTAAGGCTTCACTTTATTAATACAGACATGCCATCAGCAAGTTGACGTTATATGCCATTGATTCACAACATGTTCTACCAATGCATGACGCACCTTTAAAACAGTGCAGTGCATTATTTATACACATTTTCTAATGTATGCCTTTCAATCTTTTCTGTACTCCAGGCCAGAGTTGTTAGCATTGCATCCTTAGACTCCAACATGAGCCGACGAAGCAGCAAAGTCAAGGTGTTCGTCCGCACTCGGCCCACGGACAATTTTGCCCATGACCTGATCGACTTTGACACAGAGTCCAAGGCGGTCAATGTGCATGCCAAAAAGGATGCGCGGCGGGGGGTGGTCAATAACCAGATGTTGGACTGGTCCTTCACGATGGACGGGATCCTACACAATGCCAGTCAGGAGCAGGTGTACAATGGAGTTGCATCGGATCTGGTGGCACAGTTACTGGATGGCTACAATGGTACAATAACTCATTCTTTTGCTCGAAATCTTAGTGGGTTAAATTTCTAAGGGGAAGAACGTAATATGTATTTGCAATGAAACACATTCAGTCAGGATACTGCATAATTATTTTATTGACCTAACCTTCCCAAATCCTCCAAAATCCTCTTTGCAAAATGGAGGATTTTGCAGGATTGAGGCTACGTGGCAAAAATGTGTGTCTGATTTTGGGGGATGCACTGTGTCAAGGTCTTGGGCCAGACCTTGTGTTGTTTATGCTCAGCTGTACGTAAATTTAGGCCTAGATAATGCTTGAAATCCTCTGCACTGCTCCAGGATGTCACTGGCTTTGTCTGAACAAATTGACAGTGGTTGCTGGAGGATTTTGCAGGATTGAGGCAGTGGTCCCCCTCCAAGGACGACATTCAAGAAATAACGGAGTTTGTGGGATTGATGAGGCAGTAAGCTATTTTTACACGGAGGCAGTTTGAGGTTTTTGCAGGATCGAGGTTGTGTCCTAGCAAAAATGCCTAGGGAGTTAGGGTTAATGAAACTAAAATACAACCTTCATAACTTATGTATTAATTAAATAACTGAATATTATCATTCAAGGCTTGTTGGGCTAGGACAGCCGGGAGCAAGTTGGTTGTGCACATTGCTAATGCTGTGTAGAGCATTAATGCTGAGAGTCCACAGAAATGATGACAAATAGAGATTGAAGGACATTTTGTTGGTTGTGGTTTTCTCAGGTACATTGATGTGCTATGGACAGACAGGAGCTGGGAAGACGTTTACCATGACAGGAACTACAGAGAACTACCAGCAGCGTGGGGTCATTCCGAGGGCAATTTCTCAGGTAGTGTATCATCATGTGCATGTGATTACAGACATTTGGTCAGCCTATTCTTGACGGTTTCTAGAACGTTTCTGTCGTTCACAACACTTGGAGTCACAGAGGACACGGAGGAATCAATTATAGGAATCAAGGTTCTGTTTTTGCAATAAAGATGCCATGTTGATATAACAGTAGCACATCATAGACTCTGTCTACAAGGAAATGAATATCTCAGAACGATGGGATCAAAATTTGGGAAGAAAAGTTACTGCTATGAAATTGCTGAACCTTGCTAGGTCCCATGCCCTGTGACTTGACATCCTTACAAGCGGAGATTTTCCACGGTTTGATTACGCCACTGCCTAATCTTGAGAAATATAACCTTAGATATCGATAAAGACAATGTGGCATTTCTTTGTCTCAACTCCATTGCAAATGGAAGTGCAAAGTGGCACCAACATTTTCATGGAGCTGGCCGTGCATCACACAAGTGAATAAGACGAATGGACTTGAGGGATGTAAGACAAACTTTATCATTACCTTTGGAGACATTTCTTCAGATAACCTTGTGATGACAAACTCAAATTAAAAAAACAAAAACATTGCGGGTCGTATAGGGGTGTGCATCAGAATCAGGTAACCGCGGGGACCCGACCGCTGCTGTCGGGAACCAGTTCCAGATTATTGAATCGGGTACCCGCAACCAATTTTACAGTGACTTCTCAGCCAATGAAAGAGAAAGGTTTTGAATGCCATTTGTAGGAATTTTCAAAATGAAAACCGGGATGCAAACAAAAACCAAAACATATTTCACAGTTATGTATGTGCAGAGTGACAGATGACGCTCGCAAAAGTTGCAGTTTACACCGTAAAGCTATACATCTCTTTAGATAACTTCTAAGATTTGAATTTTGTAGTTGGGTTTCTTTTACGGTTACCTGCGTACCCGTGTTTTCATTCAATGGGGTACCTGGCTCCCATACTACCCGTAAATACACACCACTAGTAGGGTCATAAGTGGAGATCAGCGACCCTTTTTCCTATCATACTGGGAATCTATTTCTAGATGTCGACGGAATGCACGATAAGTACGCTTAGAAGAAAGGAGACCTTGGCTTATTTAACAGAGACTTTTATCACCAAAGTCCTTACCTACTGCACTCTGTTGAAATGAAATCTGCTCTTGATCTGTAACAGGTGTACAAGGAAATTGAGGAGCGAGGCGAGCAGGCTGTGACCGTCCGCATCTCCTACCTGGAGATCTACAACGAGACCATGTTTGATCTCCTGAGTACCTTACCGGACGCCATCCAGGGCCTGCCCATGATGACCATCAGTGAGGATGCGTTTGGGGTCAACATCAAGGGGCTGTCCTTACATATCGCACAGAATGAGGAGGAGGCACTCAACTTGCTCTTTGAGGTAAAACAAAACAAAAACCAGCAAAATTAGAGATTGGACTTGCAGTGATTTAGATTTTTGGGGGGATTGGACATTGGGCTATACCAGTGACTTGTGCGCAATATTTTAAAATGTGCAGTTACAAAATTGGCCTGTGTGAACTGAAATAAATGTGTACTCATTATTAAAATGACAATCACCCATAATTGGACAATTTTATAGGTTGAGGTTGAAGGTTTTCCTTTTTTAATTGTAACACAGAATCCAGTTTCATTTGTTATTTTCTGTAAATTCCATCAAGTTTGGTTTTGAGGTCATTTTTTAAGAAAAAGCTGTAAAACATGATGAATAACAAACTTGTTGCTAATTGATTTCAGAATCAAACCCATGTTACTTATCAGTCTGTATACGCAAATTGAACAAGTATTGATCAAATCATCATGCAAAGAGGTCTAAAGAATACTAAACGCTTTTAAAAAGTTTTTGAATGCCTTCCTCAATCTCATGTGCACTTCAGTGTGGGCATTATTTACTCATTCTGATGACAATTGCAGATGACAATTTTAATCGCTTTTTCTGATTCTGTGATATTTTACTCACCCCATTGAACGGCTTTCAATGTGTAAACTTAAAACCGATCTTTGAATTTATGTCTTGGCGATGGACATTTCTTAATTTCAATTACTAAATTTGTTTGGACTCTCCAGGGTGAGACCAACCGAGCCATCGCCTCGCACACCCTCAACCAGGCCTCGTCTCGTTCCCACTGCATATTCACCGTCCACGTAGAGTCCCGGTCGCGGACAGACTCCACGGCCAAGTACATGAAGAGCAAACTCAACCTGGTGGACCTGGCTGGTTCAGAGAGGCTTGGAAAAACAGGGGTATGTTATTGGAAGCTGTAAACTTCTGGGTTTTTCTTATATACTTGCATTCTTATTCCACTTGTTGAAGATGTCCATGCTATTTATGAGTTCCACCCCAAAAAACTTGATTTGTTTTTTAAAGTGCTATTTTTCTAGCAATAATGTTACAAAAGTTTTTATTTTTTGAATGAGAATTCGAATGGAAAACTTTGCTTCAGAATAACAACTTTACTAATTTTGAACGGTTTGTGGCCCGACAATAATTCATTTCCCACCCCCTTTCGGAGTCAAAAATGTATGGACCAGGAACCAGTCTACCTGCAGAAGAGGGATCTGTTAGTGCGCAAAATTAACCCAAAATATCATTTGGGTATTTTTATCTGAGGATTACAGTAGGCCAAGGTAAAAACTCTTGAAAATGACATAGAAGTCAAATAAAACCTGTGGTTAGTATTTTTAACCCCAAATTCTTGTATATCCACAGTCTGAAGGCAAGACGCAGCAAGAGGCGATGTTCATCAACAAGTCTCTGACCTTCCTGGAGCAGACCATCATCGCCTTGGCCGACAAGAAACGGGATCACATACCTTACAGGCAGACCAAACTCACCCACGCGCTCAAAGACTCACTCGGTAAGCAAACGCGTCTCTCCATCATGTCCCAACTCACTCACTAGGCCTTTGGTACAACATGTACAAGGTTCAATTTAAAAACAAGACTATAAAACTCACTTGTCCCAGGCGAGTTTGGTCTGAGGGGTGTAGTATAATCCGAGTCAATTGTTTAGGGCTAAAGTGAGCATTCTGCAAGTCTACGTCACAAGTAACAGTCGGTCGGGGAGTCAGTCAGTCAGTCAGTCAGTGAGATGCATGTAGGTACAAAGAGGACTGAAGGCTGGCCCTCTGGGACCAGCAACAGAATCGACCTATCGTCGTTTGCGAGTTAGCCACGCCCCTTAGATGACCCTATGGAATTTTATATGTTAAGTTCCGTTTGTCTCAGATTTTGCGCGTTCCGCATCCATTTGTACGTCATGTAATTGGGCAATATTTCACAAGCTGTGTTGACGCAATTCTAACGCGATAGATTAATTATAAAGACACATCCCTACTTCATGGGAATGTACATGAAAATTCAATGTACATAAGTAAAGAAACATTCTCCGCACAGTGCCCCAAGTTTTGTGAATTCTGCATCATGAATGCTGATGCATGCTGCAAATGAATTGGCCTTCAGAAATGAAGAACAAAGAACTTGGCTGAGGTAGGATTGACCCTGTCACCCACAAAACACCGTTTTATAATCTTGCCAAAAAAAAAGTGTTCTGCTTCAGATTACATGGCATGTGAAAAGAGGGTAGTTAGGTAGGTAATTTTTTTTTTTGAGGGGGGGGTTTGTGTACAATCATATAGAGGTGTCTGCGTGTAGTAAAGGGTAAAAGGTAGTAATTGATGGTTTTCAGGTTTTTCCCTCATTCCCCCCCCCCCCAAAAAAAAATTAGGGTTAGAGGGATGTCAAAATAGGGTAGGTAGGGTAACCGGAAGGAGAACTATTATTGTTGGAGGCCTCAGTGATTGCACACATTTGTTCAATATCCCATTATCACCTGTTGCACATTGGAAAACAACAGATTTAATCCCTGATGAATCTATAAAACTGTACAGTGCTGGGGCAGTTTGGAGCAATGTACAGGACCTAATGAGTCAATGACTGGCGGATTAAGCAACCATTGTCCTTTTCTTGCTGTGTTTAGGTGGTACCTGCAACACTGTACTGGTTGCTAATGTTTGGGGCGAGGCAGCACAGATTGAAGAGACTATATCCACACTGCGCTTTGCCATCCGCATGAGGGGCATCAGCATTGAACCGGCCGTCAACGAATTCTTTGATCCGGTGTTGCTCGTCAAGAAACTCACCAAGGAAATTGAGCATCTAAAGCATGAGCTGGCGATGCACGATACACTGGTAAGAAAATTGAAAGAAAGCAAAAAATAAATCATGAGTAAAGATAAAAGGATTAACACCTGCCATAACCCTGTAGAGAATGTATGACCATCAAATGTGGCTGGTAAATTGTATGATTCCTTAGATGAAATTTTTGCGTCGGGGTGATGTTAATCAAATTAGCTTTAGCCCGTCGGTGAAGGGCAAAACCTAATTTGATTAACATCACCCCGACGCAAAAATTCCATCTTATGAATAGTTAATGCGGTACCCGTTGCTATGTACACCAGATTCGAACCAACCAACCAATCCCGTTAGCTCGGTGGTCAAGTGATAAGACATCTGCACTAGAAAGCAGGAGGTCGTGGGTTCGAGTCCCACTTGAGTGATTTTTCCAACTCTCACTGAGTATACGGTGTTTGTACGTCGGTGAAGGGCAAAACCTAATTTGATTATTTTTTATGATGTTGAGTGGTAATCAAGTTTTATAAAGTTGATCTATTCTTAATTGCTCAAGACAAACAAAATGGTTTAATATATCGACCGTAATTAATTGTGACATTAACCAAGGTATGTGAAGCTAACGTCAATTCGTCACATTTAAAGGTCCAGCTACAGTCTGTATTATGAATCCCTCTCGATGTCCAGGCCAACAGGAGTCAGGTCAACTACGAGCCCCTGTCAGACGCCCAGCAGCTTGAAATCCAGAGCCAGGCCCGGCGGTACCTGGACGGTGCCATAGATGAGATGGACGTGGTCAACGTCCGTCAGATCCAGACGGTCTTTTCCTCATTCAAGAACATCGTGGGCCAGATGGAGCAAGACGTGGAGGCTAGGCTGAGGGGCAAGTACACGCTGATTGACCGCATGGATCCGGCCGCTGTGGCTGCAGCTCAGAAGGTAAAATTGCTTGTATCTGATGTGCATGTTCTCAGGAGACAGTTGAATGACTTCGGCAGATCCACTGGCAAATCAAATAATACATTGGAATTGGTATGCTAAGTACAGCAGCCCCAGAAAAAGGCAACTCACCCCCTGGGGGGGGGAGACAAAAGACATTTTATTTGAAGTCTCCTTTACTTTGTTTATAAGAAATCAATAACCATATGTGATGCGATCAAGCTACATGAGTCGTTTGTCGACCCTGGTCAAAAAAAAATTTATTACAGATTTGAAAAGAGCACAATCTCAGCATTGTTGCTGTGAAAACTGCATGCTGGAACCATCTTTAGTTCAAAAATTATGGAAGTTGGAACACCAAGAGATGCAATGAAGTGATGTGATGAAGTGGCCCTATTTTGGCCTGTATCGCCAAATGAAAATTCCCGACAAACGACTCATGTAACTTGATCGCATCACATATTCTCTGCACAGAAAATACAAGGGTTAACAGACAGAATTGTGGAATTCATCTGAGACAGCTCCATAAGAGCCAATCATTTTAATGAGAAAATAACTTGGGAAAGATAAAATTACGTCAACTTCAGGGGTTTTTTTTATAATGAAATGTAACTCAGATTATTGTCAGGTTGATATTTGTTTGTCTAATGTAAATTTTCTGTACTCTGTTTTGTGCAGTTATATACTCCATTCATTAAACTTGTGTGTTATTTTTGGAGTGTTGTTGGTATTGGACACTTTAAGGGCTCTATTTTGTGGTTGCATATGGCAACCACTGTGTATAAAATAGATAACTTTTTTTTTTCGAGTGTAGGGAGGGTCAGTGCCCTGTTACTGAATCAATATAACAAAAATTCACCTCTGAGTTGGTAACTGTATGCAAATGTTTTATTTTCTTCACATTTCCGATTACTGTTGTGTCCCCCTTATCAGGCCGGGGTGGTGTTTGATGACAACGGAGGGGCCACATACGTTGGTGACGTGGATGGCCAGGGTTTCGGTCTGGGTGTAGCGCCCTCATCTGCCAAGCCCACTCACTCAGCCATTGTGTCTGCCAAGAAAGCCAGAACCAAGAAGGGCAAAGACAGAGCAAGGTTTGTTCTGAACAAAAAAAATCCTGTTGATTTTTCGAGAGAAGGATATTTCACTAATGATGTCGGCAGACAGAAAGGTTATTGGGATGAAGCCAAATTAATTTAACAGAGTTGAATTTGCTCACCAACAAGTATGACCTGGGTTTACAACTGCTTTGAATTTTCATTCACGTGAAGTATAAACAGGCCTCAAGCTATTTCTTCCCTCCAAACCCACAGCCCGCAACCCACCAAGGTCGTCCAAGGCACCACCAGTCCTGTGCCCAGCACCCACCCCACGGAGCAGTCCTCTCCGGTCCGCCCAGCTCCCCTTGAAATGAGGGAGTCAGCGGTGCGTGCCGAGACAGCCTCAGCGGCCGGCTCAGGAGGGCCTCTGTCGGAGCTGCCCCAGCCACCACGGGCCAGCACGCCGCCGCTGCGCACTGTCGCCTTCGAGGAGTTCAAGCATGAGAGAGGGAGCGAGATTAATAGGATACTCATAGAAAACAAAGGTAATCCATTTATTTGAAATTCATACATTCCCAAACTCACAGATGACACCAAGTATACAGTGCTTATAAAATTATATAGATGAAGGGCTAAACCCAATATTGAAATGATATTTCCCAGCCGAAACAGTCATTCTCTCCTATGTTCACTTTCTCTCTATTACCCTAGTTTTGGCCGGAGTGCTTGTTTAAAAATAAAAAACTTTTTTTCAGCCCAAAACACCTGCAGAATAGGAAACACACTTCGAGGTGATTTTCAAGTCGCACACTAATATGTAAAAAGGTTTCCCAAGAGTCTTGGCAATTTTAGTTTTCTAATAGAAATATCTCTCAACGACTGATATTTTGCTCATCCATGTCATCTGCACACAGACTCAAGGGCAGCATAGCCACAAGAAGTAGTTTCTTTGTTTTTGGAAGCAATAGTTATTTTGTTGTGGCAGCCTAAAGATTTTGATGAAAAAAAACACAGACCTGAGCATATTCAAGTCCGTGTCACGAAGTTTCATTATTTTATATGAGCAAATTACATTAAAATTTGTCAAAATGCAGCACAACTCGTCTCAGTTATCGATCCTAAGTCTCAATTTTTGTTTATCTAGATATTCTTGGAACTAAAAAGAAGCAATGCCGAGACCTGGCCAAGACCATCAACATAACAAAGGAGGAAATCGACCAGACGCGACAGGCCATTGACAAAGTCAGGAATGACAGATCTGAGCAGGGTAAGCACATTGGTTGGCTTGGAGGCAAAAAGGAACACCGCAGGAGGAACTTGTCATAGTCCAAGAGATCCAGCTTTGTGTCTTGCGTTGTACATATCTCACTGACTGATCCACTGAATATTAGGTTCACCCTTTTGGGGTAGTCTTATACAATAGCACTGCCTGGCTGTGTTCATCGGCCAACAACAAGGCTAAGTCACAACTGACAGTCACTTGTTACTTTGCCTTGTTGTTGGCCGATGAAGACAACCAGGCAGTGCTATTGTATAGGATTTCTCCGAATGGATGAACTTAAATCCCGCCCATTGTGTACACCCGATGTAAGAAAAGACTTCCAATAAATAGACATTCTGAATCAATTTAATCAAGTTTTGTGCACTTTGGGACTACCTTTACTTGACTTGTCAGTTTTGTTACTTTCAGTCAGTTCAACTGAAAGAAGAGAACTTTTAAATGGATAAGAAGTAATGGAAACACTCCCAATTTGTTGCCTTTGTAAAGTACATTTGTTGATCGCACCCAGATTTTCTTGAATCCTCCACTGTGTTGGAAAGGAGTGACACTTTCTTTTCACTTTCACTTTGGAGGTTTGAAAATTAAGGCAGCTGTGTTTCACCTTGTACAATCCTGCAAAATCCTGCATAAAGCCTTGGAGGTTAAAGGAGATTAGAGGGAATAGGCCAAATCACAGTGATGGAAATGTCGTTTATATCTGCTTAGTTGTGATTTTTTTTTGTACCGCATAAATATCTTTTGATTTTGGAAAAAAAATTCTCATAAAATTTTATGAAAAAAAAAACAATTGGGGAATATTTAGTGTAATTTGTTGGGATTGCCACCAATTTTGTTTCTCATTGTTCTACCGATAGGAGACTTTTCCACAGAAAATGGTGAAATGGTGATTTCAGAGGAGGAATTCCAGCTGATCCGTAAGCTGAAGGAGCTGAAAGCAGCTTACAGGCTGGACTACGATGAACTACGCCAGGTCAAGTCAGAGGTGCAGTACTGCCAGAAACTTGTGGACCAGTGCAGACAGAGGCTGATCACAGGTTAGCGAGAGAGCCTCCTAGAGACTTCACTTGTAGAAGAACAGAACATCTAGAGTTGTTACATGAGTCATTCACAAGTTAATCACAAGTCACTCGATTCAGGTCTTAAGTATCAGAGTGTTACGATATCAGAGACAAGCCTTCGTCAGAGTTCTTTTGAAAAGCCAGTTGACCAGAGACTGGATGACTTGTGATTGGCTTGTGATGACAACACTTTGGGCATCATGGAGCAAGTGTGATTAAGAACCATGGGTCAACTTGTGGTTGAACTATAATGTAACTTCATTTTGCCAGCATGTGAATAGCAATGTGCAAGTAACTGTCACTAGTCAAACGATAGTCAAAATGGTTCCCTTTGAAAACGATACGACCAACAAGTAATACGTGGCTTGGAACCAAGATTATCAGACTATGATAAACCATCTAGCTTTTGAACCCAGTCATTAGCTCTTGTAATCATCACATTTGTCAAAGGTACAGTCCAGCATTTGTTATTTGTGCATTTTGTTCGTTTGAAGCAACAAATATGCTCAAAATCTAAAGAAGGGTGCTGAATAACTAACCTGATGAAGTTTCAGAGAAAAGCAGCATTCTAGGATCTCGATTTCAAATCAAAAGTTGCTGAATCATGTTTTGAATTGGGCCTGAATTCAGCATCCGAGACACGTTCTCACTGAGCCGATTGCAGCTACGCGATGTCATGCACTGAACCGACGAATTGTAGCAACCGCGGGCCGATTTCTTCAAAATGACAACTTGCCAGAAAGAATAATTTCACAGGCAGTTTTCAGTCCCCTTACTATCTTTCAACCAAGGCGGCAGAACGCTATGCCCCAGTCTATGACATATTAGCTCAAGTTGTCTACCGACACTCATTCAAATGGGCCATGTTTTGTCGACCGTAAACTTGAAAAATGGACTCTCTGTGGCAAACTCTTGGTGGCGCACTGCATTGTGAATCGCCCGAATTGTCTACCTGTGAAACCAATTAATTGCCTTCTTTCTGAAGTTTCGGATATTTTTATTGCACAATGGATATTTTTATTGCTTCCAATGCTGAACTTGTTTTGTTTTTCTTTGTAGAATTTGACACTTGGTATTCAGAGTGCTTCCTAAGTAGTGATGACCAGCAGACTAGTGCTAATGCAGGCTTTGGTATACGATCAGGCACCATGTATAATGTAGACATGGTGAGTTCTCAATGACTTACAACTATTAAGACCATTTGTGAAAAAAAGTCTGATTTCCATACATCTGGGTATTATAACTTTCAATAAGCCACTGTTCTGATGGTGTCACACTTTAATTATGTGTGAGCTTTACTTAGTGGACCATGGGCCCCCACTGGCTCCATAGGAAAGTGCATACGTAAACAAAGTGTGACGTCATCAGTACAGAGGCTTGTTACACATGAACTTTCTCGATGTGAAAGAAAAAAGATACATGTATCTTGAGCTAATTTTGTAAATTGCTGAACGTCAGAGAGAATAGAGTAATACGGAAAAAAGTGAAGTTCCACTCTGAAGTGCTAATTCTTCTCTTAACCCCGTCATAAGTTTGTACCATTGAAAAATATTGTGTCATTATCATTCTACAACACAATAAAATAGTCGAAATTTCTTCCTAACCATCTAATGTTCTGTGTAAAATTGAAAGCATTCACTTCATTTATTTTTTTTTTTTTCTTTAAGCCCGAGGACGAGGGAGAGAAATTTGAACGCCTTCAGTCCCAGCTTTTGATGGAGAATCCGGACTCCGCTTCCTTTACAATGCCAGGATGCGCACAGATAGACGGGTAAGAAACAAACAAACACTCCATTAAACTGGGAGATAGCCCATCTAATTCCAGATAACAATCTTTCAGAAATTGAACCTGGTTCATTTCCCATATATTTTCAGAGTTTTCTGGTGGACCATTGTTTTCCATTTTATTAAAATGAACAAGTCTACTCAGGGCCTGTTTCAATTCAAATCCGGGACGAGTTCCGGACAAGTTACTGACACTGTATCGGGTATAAGTTGGAGGATTCTAGACAACTTCCCTGCAATCTCCCGCGACGAAGTTATCAGTATTGGCGAGTCAAGCAATTGCTAATGAACATTTCCCTGAAACATGTCCAGGACAAATGCAGAGCTTCTTCCGGACAAAGTGAATAATTATACCTGCAACTTGTCAGGAACTCGTCCTCGATATGAATTGAGGTGGGCCCCAACTCTGATTTCAAATCTGCATTGATTTACATCACATTACTCAGGCATGCAACTGAAAATTTTCAAAAAACGAGGAAATTCCAAACCACACAAGACTTTGTACAGTGTTTTTCAATTTGTAATGGCATTCATGAGAAGTAAAAAAAACGAGGAAATCAGCGGATCCGAGGAAAGGTTGCATGCCTGATTACTTGTTGTGGCATGTGCAAACTGGTTCACTTATCACATTAAAGGCTTGTGCATACAAAAGCGCAGTGTGCGTGGTCATGTCACAGTAGGAAGGACAAAACCGAGTACACGATTATAGTGCCGATCTCTTGCCATTATGCAGGAAGCGTCAAAGCGCAGGAATGTGCATGAAAGTGTCACCAAGGGTCCACTCATTACAAGGCAATGTTTGGATCTCTGGCAGTTGTACATAAAGTACATACAGTTGAACCCTGATAAGAGCACTGTTAATTCAACATCCTGCTTATAACAAGCAAAATTTGAGGTCCCAGTCTTTGTTTTTACTTTGGTTTCCATTACTGTTAATACAAGGTACCTGTTGTAACAAGGTAATAATTATGTAAAGTCCCAAGGACCTTGTTATAATGGTGTTCCACTGTACACGTAATCGGCAAATTTATCAAACCATAATAGAGGACGTCTTAAAGACACTTTGTGTTGATCCATTTTTCTTTTGCAGCAAACTCTGGAGGCAGCAATGAGGCAAGCCCAGGCCGACAGACGAGCAGTGGGCACACCCACCAAGACCATCCGCAATCAACCTCCATCACTCATGGCTGTCCAAAACTAACGCTGTTTATACTGTTCAATCCATGAAAAACAATTGTAAAAATCCATCCCAAATTTACTTATAGACACGGTGTATACATGTAGTAAAGACAGGGGTCGCTGTTAATATGATTGCACTGTTGTCCTAGTAAAATTTGTAAAAATTTGTTCAAACTTTTTTTTCTTCCTTTATGGGTTTGGGTTTTGGTTTAAATTAAAAATCTGCCAACCCATTTCATGTATATGTATAAATTCTTTTCTTTTACTTTTCTAAACCAGCATTTCCTTTTCTTTTATGTCAGTCAGAAAGAATGAGACACCTCAAGAGGCTTTGTGGAATTGTCTTTAAATGAAGGATTTATGTATTCTGTTCTTAAGGGAATTGTTAGGTCTGATGTAATTACCCACCTTAACTGATTTAACATTGAATGTCCGAAGGTTCACGTGAGCCTCTCATGAGCATCTGACGTTGGCTTTTAGGATAATTGCAGCAGCTAATCGAGGCTGCCGCCTTATGATCGACCTTGGTGCAAACCCTTAGATCAGAAGATGCATCATTCTTCAACTTGTGATCATTCAGAAAGTAGTTATTGCTAAATGGTCAACGTGCGTTGACTAGAGCATCTTCCACACACCACCTTTTCCGTGAATATTTGAGGTATGGATGTTCTGTACACCTGTATTTATAGTGTTACGTTTTAGAATTATGTTTTCAAATTAGATGTAGGCATTACTTGTGTATGTGTGCTTTAGAGATCATTGAATGAATGTGCTGAAAACAAATTCAGTATTTGCAAATTGGTCGCTACACATGTCAACATTTTTTTAAAAAGCCGTCCACATCCTTTGCTGAAGATTTTTTTTGTTTCGGCTAAGTAAAAAAGTCCTAGGCTTGTTTTGTAATTATTACTGATGTACATATGGAATTCATTGACTATAATCCGTCCTCTTTGTAATATAATGTGCTTTCACTAATACATAACAGACAGTGGGCTGGTAGTCCCGTTTCTGAACATTAAAAGAGTGAATTGAAACCGAAGAATGTAAAATTTGACAGCAGTCATTATTTTGTTTTCTTGTTTTATTGAAACTTAAAATACAGTTATTTACAGACCACTAATGCATAAGAGTATTTTCGTTTTTATTTTCAAAATGGTTAGAATACTGACCGTATTGGTTGTGGGGTAGTTTTCTATTGTATGTGATATAGGAACAGAGATATGGGGACACTGAACTGCCCCTAATGTTTTTGGAAACCCAAAGACGTGTCCCAACCTCACACACTGCCAGCTTGCACACACAAAAAACCAACAAAAACCGATCAATTCAATCAAACAGCTCCTCAGTACGATGACTGGAAATTCTGCACAAATACAGAAGTCATGAAGGTTTTAATTCAGCTTTACATGCACGATGTAAATACACTGTACTGGCAGGCATTCAATCAGTCTGCATGTTCACTACAGAATCAGCACAACACTTAACCACATAAAAGAGCAACATGCTTTGTGTTAATACATGTACACATTTAATTTTAGGCATAAAAACACTGTGACTGGATCATTCAAAAGAAAAAGACCCCCCAAAAGAAGGCGCTATAATTTAACCAAAACCCTCAAAACCCAAGAAACCTGGCAAAACCATATCTGGAACTCTTTTTTCCAGATTCCCTCCCCAACAGATGCTCAGCGGGGCATCAATAGTAATGATCACTTCCATAATAGACCTGATGCGTTAAGCCGGAATTAGAGGTCGATGTATTGTACTGTGTGGATAGGCATGAGAAAACTTTTGGTGCATTCATTGTTACTAGATTAAAATAACAAAGAACAGCCTCTGAGACACACCCAATGCATAAGGTCTAAAGAAGGAATAATATAACCGACATACAGATCCTTGTCATTTGATTGGTGGAATTCACATCACGTGACATTCGTTATTGCTCCCATTCACGCCGCGGCTCAAAAAGTACTATCCGCCCATGGGGAATGGGAAATACTATTGTTCCATGACGCGGTATTTGTGTGCAAAAGAAATGCAGGCTGGTGTGCGCGTTCAGCGTTGCGCGTAGCGCGTATTGTTCCAAAGAACCAGCGCTACAGAGTGGGGTTCAAACATTTTCGTGAAGGGGTGGTTTGGAAGAGAGAAATACATTTTCCTCCAGTTTTTATTGAAATAAAAGTTCAAATATATCAAATGACAAGGATCTATATGTCAGTTATATGAAACAAATGTTGAGTGGCTTTAAATTGTGAAATGGGAAGAATATTATCGCTTGGTAAAATCTGGACTATTCCAGTTCACTCGGCTTCGCCTCATGAAATGGAAAAGTTCAGATTTTACCTTGCGATAATATTCCTCCCATTCCACGCTGAGCCACTCAATATTTGTATACTATTATTCATCCATGGGCTCCTGAAGTTCTGGTATCGTTGACTGTGAATGGCTGGGTAGGGTCACGGTGACCTGTGATGCATGTTCCATGGTCCAGGCGTGTAGGTTGCCTGCGCCCAACTCTGCCTGCAGTGCCTCGTGCCTCTGTTGGCATCGGTCGACTTCAGCACTCATCCTTGTGTGCGGAAAAAGACGGACATGATACTGATTTCACACCAACAAAAGACACAAGGTAATATGAACATCTGATCCCTTAAATTTTCATTAAAAGTCCACTTCTCTGTGAAAAGAATCTTTAAGAGATAATTCACGAACTTTTACATGGGGCTTATATAGGACTTATCCTGTAAGAGTGTTTTCACGGCTTTTTTAATGACCCTGGCCTCTGAGGATTATCATTGGTTATACATAACGGTGCACTGGGTCTATCTCCATGGGTAAACAAAGGACTTTCTTAAGGGTGTTTTCACGGACACCTGATCTGGCTTACTATGTTGAAAAATCCGTGAAAATTTAGTTAACTGTAATTTCAAGGGAAAATGGCTCTTTAACATGTTTAATGAATTTTTAAGGGATGTAGATGTTTAATATTAAGTCTATTAGAGGGAGGGGAGGAACATAGCAGCCTCCCCTCTCTGCCAACACAACACACACTGTCTGGTTTACTGTACCATTGAGGACCCTCATTGTCCCATTTTTGTTCCAAGTTGGACTGCTTGTTTCTCAATATCTCCCATGAGGTTTGTGCACAAAGTCACTTGGGAAAGGGTTCCATACCTGGACATCACTTGTCACCCTGTGCACAAACCCTATGAGACTGGTCCGAAAAAATTCCAAGTGTTTTCTCAGTAAATGCTGTAACATTTTCCCTGCTAACTTTGACTTTTTAGGACATGAAAGTGGTTGGTCAACAAACAAAAAAAGACAAAAGTGTCAACTTAACTCACCGCTGACTTTCACTGATTGCCCTCTGAAAGAAGTTATTCCTCCTCTCTTCATCAGCCTGTGACATCTCTACAGCTGTGCCAGAAACCTGTACATAACATAAGACGAGCCAGAAGATGGAACTAGTGAAGATATTTTCTTATCTAAGTTATACTGTCATGATTATGGCGATCGTGAAGTGTAGGACCCAGTTCCTTTAAGGGAACAATTTAATCTACATGTATTTTAAAATTATTAGACCTTCCAAATTAGTGGCAACATTCTCAATAAACTGGTATGTCATAGATAAAGGGCAGGGTTTTAGTTTTTGAGGGAAATTTGGGGGCAAAATGATGATGACAGGGCGCAACCCAAAAAAAGGATGGCGATCACGGCGCGATGTACCATGAGCACGCACGGCGCGCTGAATCGCAAGGCACAAACTGCGCAGGAAAATCGTGATTTCTACCCCAAGAAACTGTTCAAAATTGCAACAGAATTGAGAAAAGTCTGCTTTTGATTGTAAAGGTGATTTTTGAGCAATAAAAAACATTACTGACTCTAATTTGATCAAAACAAAACAGGGGCCCTACACTACACGATCGATTGCCACGATTATAGTGATTATAATTAATTTCAATTAATCTGGAACAATCTTCCATTTGAATTACGACAGTGTTCTTCATTGCAATCTTTCAAATTTTCCCTAAACTACTATTTGTTCACCTCGTGTTTTTTGTTTGATATATTTTTGCCGTGTAAATCATAACTGTTTATTGATGCATTATGCGCCATGAGTGTCTAACCTGGCAGATACCTCCTCCAAGACAAGTTTTCATTATTATTAATGTTATTAATTATTATTTATTATTATTATTAAACCTAACGTTTTGTACAAGAGTAAGGGGAATTTCGAATTGCGTTATAATTTATAAACAGATAAAGGGCTGCAGCTGTTCATCTAGGCATAATTAAGTATGCAGAGTAATTATGTAATTCTTCCTACTTGGATGAATCAGTCGTAAGACGAAATAAAAGAAAAAAACATGTTTCTTGTCCCCGCCCGCTTCCTTTTTGGCGGCCGCCTGGATTTTTTTATTTTTGAAAAATGCAGTAAAAAAACACAGGAAAAGTCCACAAATTCATCGGAAAATAAATACCAATACCAATACAACTCTAAATGACACTTGTTCAGTTCTCTTGTCCAACTTACTTGTCTTTCTTAGCTGCAGCTTAACAAGCTCATCATATTACGTCATGACAAAAGACATGAACGTCATGAACGTCATGAAGTATGAACGTAGTCGTAGAGCCTGATGCGTAAAAAAAAGAGTAAAAGCTACGGTTAAAATGTGGAGCTACTCACTCTTTGATCGTGGTAATTCCTTGATACGAAATCTCTAAGGCTGCCACTTCCGGCCCTATCAGGTGCATCATGTCCATTTTGGTTGACGTTATTGTCTAATCCATTTTCAATCGGCTCTGAATCCCGATTGTTTTGATTAGCAACGGGTCTGTCGTCCTCCATTTTTTCTCCGTAATTGGATAAACACCGCCCTCCATAGTCGCCAAGCGGTAACACTTGGTTCCCAGACATAGGCCGTGTCCGAAACGGCTTCAAGAGCTACGGCTACGTCTATCGCCAGCGAGTCCCCGCCAGATATTTTCAATGGGGGCGGACCATGCAGACCGTACCTAGACATAGCTCTAGACAGCTGCTGCAGATTCCCGGTCCATCATCGATTCTTACTTCGAATAAGAACCAGCGCATGGCAGGTTTAGTGTGAATTCGGACTCAATGAAATACTCGCTGGTTCTTTTGCGCATGCCTATTAACTGAATAATTATGGGACAGCGACAGGTCACGTGTGATGGTTAAAGTAAAAGTACCGGATTTTATAAGAGTCCAAATTTTATATCACATCGGCTTGATCATCCCAAATCCTCAGTAATGATGAACGCGATTTCCTCAGACAGTAAAGCGTGCCTGGGGTCCCCCCCCCCCCTCGAAAAAAGAGGGGGGAAAGAGGGGGGGGGGGGGTTGAGAGCAAAATTAAAACGATGCCTATTTATTAAACATTTAAACAGAAGAACTTGAAGAAGATTTTGAAATTGACATGCACCTCCTTAATTCTCTCACCAGATTCCAAGGCACATAGGCATACTTTGTATTTATCCTAAACGTAACCTACCGCACCGATAATTACATGTACATGTACAATGTATTACCAAAACATTTCCTTGATTAGGGGCAGGGGCGGAATGCGCCCCCCCCCCCTTTCAAATTTTCCGCGATACCCCTGTATATTTTCACGACCAGAACTGTCCAGATTTTTAGCCTCAAGTCTCGCACATTTGTTGAGTACCAACAACATAACATTTTGAACCCTTTAACCAATAGGCATGACATTTCTTGGGTATGTACATATTAAGTTCATACCGAGTTTCATAATTTTTCGTCGCTCGATGGCCGAGATCTGAGGGGTAGGGGGAAGACGAAATCCGCCCCCCCCCCCCCCGGCAGTGAAATGGTCAAAATAACCCGGTCCTTTTTAGGGTTAACCCTAAAAGGGCCGGGGCGGAATCCGCCCCCCCCCCCCTCAACTTTTTTCGCGATAGCCTTAAAAAAAAAATTCGCGACCCGATCTGTTATGACTTTTTAGCCTCGAGCCTTGCGCATCTTTTGATGCCAAAAACATAAAAATTGGACCAGGGGTTGCCGCGTAGCGAAACATTTTCCGGCGCTACGCACCGTGAAAACTGAATTTTCCCATATTATATACGTCGTGTACACAGAGCAGAATTACCATTCGTACATATGAATAATTAATTAACCATAATTCCAAAACCCTTTGACCTATAGTCATGAAATTTCTTTGGTATGTTTATGATGAGTTGTTCTATGCATGTACCGAGTTTCAAAATCCGCCCCCCCCCCCCCCGGCCTGATTAGGCTTAAAAGATCGTACTGGTATACTAAACACCCCATGAAATTCCGTCTGGGTTAACTGCTGTCGTTTGTAAATTTCCATCTGGGTTGCTGTCATTTGAGAAGAAATCAAGAAATAACGGTACTTTCCAACGATCAGCCAGTAAATGAATGATTTGTGGAATCATAATGAGTGTTTGTGACGAACGGCGTGTTTCGTGACCAAAGGTTGATGGGCATGGGTTTTCACTGTTTTTTTTCTTCCAAACATAGACTGGGCTGAAACTTCAACGCAAATCCCGCGCAAGCTGAATAAGTTGTGAGGCCGAATATAATTCGATATAATTATTCCAACATTAAACGAGGGTCCGTTTGCAGTTCAACGCCGTATTCGAATATCTTTTGTAGTGCTGGGAAAAGTTAAAAGTTAACACTGGGTCTATTTGTCAGGTTGTAACCGCCGTACGGACAATAAATAACCTTTAAGAAATACAATGAGGATACATTTGAAGTCGTCAACTTTTTTTGTTTGAACAGGTTTGGCTTCAATATGGATCCTTCACTCATGTAGAATGTGCCCGTGATTTCATGTACAATTGAAGATCCTCAAATAAAATGAAACAATTAGGAGTGACGCCCTTAAGCTGAATGTTTTCATACAGGCCTAGTATAGGCCTACTTGTGGGTTTTTTTTTAGACATGTATAGGTACATGCAATTACCGGAAAAAAGTGGGACCTCCTAGCAAAAACGAGAAAATTAATCCTTGCTGAAAATGAAGATTGAAGGATGAAGATGAAGGACTGGTATCAAATACCTTGTGAACGGTCTCAGTGAAATGCTATATCATAAGCCTACTGAAGTTCATTCACAAAATGCTGCACCAGTACGTAGCCTACGTTCAAATTCAAGGGAAGTATGACATCAGCGGGAGATCATTGTAAAGCAATAAACAATATCGGTGTAAAATATACATTATATAGAAAATTTAAGTTGTAACAAATAGTCTAAATCTTTTGCATACAAGGTAGCTAGACTGTCCGCGTAGCCAGGGTTTGGTCGAGAAATTATGGGTTGGGGGGGGGGGGGGTGGAACGACCCACCCAATATGCGAAAGGGCGCCCATAATAGCTGTCTCTGTCTCTTTTAAAGAAAATAATCTTTCGTGTTGGATAATTTTCATGCCTACAAATATCTTGTTCTCTAACTTAAATGGGGATCGACAATAATTATAGTTGTCTATGTACTCGAAGGCTGAATTTCAATAAATCTGTAAGATTTAAACCACGAGTACGAAGTCTTGTTGACTGCCTTTGTGCACCGATCTAGATGTACTATTTGCTCAATGAGTTATCGCATTGCAAGACAAATTTGTTCACAAAAGTGATATCACGAGGACAAGGCCATTGTGGACCACTGACCCATCGTGCAATTTGCATTGCGTTATGATAGTTTGGACTGGTCAAAAGGCCGCCGGACTCCAATACCTGACGTGAGTACAGATCTACTGGTTTCAATTCCCGTGGGTTTTGGTGTTCAGTGTAACAGGCCTTGCTGGAGACCAACTGTTTGAAATCGTCTTAGCGTAGGGCCTATATATCTTGCTGTTCAAAAGGTAAAGTGTTTTTTTGCGAAACAAGAGACCCATTTTCTCAATCTTGGTCGTACCACCGTATTCATGCAACATTGAAACTTATTCAGCTGACATGCATCATAAGTGTATAATTTTTGTTGTCAGTTTCAGATAATTTTCAAAGGAAGAATCCATCGCCTGGTCGCCAGTCTAAAAGTGATTAACCAAGCTCATGTGAAAAAAATACCGAGCCGCGAACCAAAACTGACACGCATAATAGGCCTAGCCCTACGGCAATATTCAAAATGGCTGATACACCTCCGACTATGTCAACCGCTAGACGAAGGGAAAACGTGGATGGAGGATGGGCCTACTTGATCCTGTTGGCGGCTTACGGCTATTTCTTCGTCTTCGCTGGAATTGGAAAGAGTTTAGGTGTGCTGCTCCCCACCTTAACGGAGCAGTTTGATACTCAGACGTGGCTACTGGGAGCCATTATCTCCATTATAATGCTGATTAAGGACATATCAGGTAAGGCATTGAATGTATATGCGGAACCATTATGGGGAGGGAAAGTTATTTTAGAGAATTGGGATTAGCTTGGGTTGGGTTCGGTAAAGCTGGGTTGACCTGGGCTTTGGTCCCTGAAGCAGCTGGGACATAAAATAAATTATGTGCTTTCGATTTGTTTGTTCAATTTTATAAAGTTACCATCACACTTTCACTTCCTCATGTTCAGCTGTCCCATCGGCGCTATTGAGCACGAAACTCCCGGTGCGATGGATCTTGATAGCGAGCAGTATCGTTGCATGTTGTGGGATAATTGGTGCGTCTCTTGCTCAAACCATCACCCAGTTTGCCGTCTGCATGTCCGTGTTATCAGGTAACTGGCATTTTTTGTTCTCTGTGTAAAGACTATATCCATGCAGGTAGGGAGGCACAAGCCCGGATTGCCCAATAGGCACAGTATAGGTACTGTGCCTGCCTGCGAATAATTCGGGGACCTACTAAAATAATGCAGTGTGCTATAAAACACATATAAGCCTATCATATACCCACACCACAACCACGTGCACAGAAGAGTTTTTAAAAAGTTCTAGGGACTCTCTCAGAATTTTCGATTTCACCAACTGACGCTGTACAGCATGTATATACAAACAGACCCTACGTATACAATTTACGTGTAAAGGCTGTCGCTCTGAAGCATGGTGCCAACTATGGGCGTCGATCGGTGGGGGCGGGGGACATGTCGCGCCCCCAACTGTTTTCATCCCTGAATAAATTATTGTAGCCTACACTAATTCTGTAGCTCAGAAAAGCATTTCAATGACTCCAATCTCGAAAATGATGTTTGAATGAGGATATTTTGCTAAAGCCTTGCCAATAGTCATAAATGGCCTCAGATCGCACCACAGAGCGTCTAGAATCCATTTCTACCCCCGGGGCCCTTAAGCGGACCCCGAACCCCACGCCGGTAAGGCTACGCACCAAGGGCGGATCCAGGACACAATTTGGGGGGGGGGGGGGCCAAAAAAAATTTTGGTACCCCAAAAAAGTGGGTCAAAAAAATTACGGCGTGGGGTTCGGGGCCCGCTTAAGGGCCCCGAAATTTTTTTGGATTCTAGATGCTCTGTGGTGCGATCTGAAGCAATTTCTGACCACTTTAACCAATGATTTTTGAGGAAAAGATGGTGGTGTGCTCATTGTCTGCCTTTATTGCGATGTCACATAAAAAAAAAAAAAATTGGTTTCGTTTTGGGGGGGGGCCATGGCCCCCTTTGGCCCCCCCCCCCTGGATCCGCCCTTGCTACGCACTCGAATTAGTTCTAATCAGGATACACATGTTTGTAACACCCCCACACTTTTGAGAAGCGTTTGACGCCCTTGGTGCCAACAGGTTATAGGACCTATATTAGGCCTGGCTTGATTTGTTGTACGCTGAATTTGGTGTTGGTGGCTAGGGCGGAGTCGGGCCTACGGAACACTGGTACCTAGGGCCAACGAAACACTTAATCCTGGCCAGGGGAGGCAACAACACCCCCCCCCCGTCCAAAATTATAATTATTTACGTAATGTAGAAAACCCCTTGTGTCAATGAATACGTTCTATGAAAAGCGTCATTACTCAACTGTGGCAATTCTTGATCCATTGCTTAATGAAGGGTTTTTCTTTTACCATTCGACTCAGTGTCCTTTTTTTCACACGGGTGCCCCTTTTTTAAACGTCCCACGAACGTCAGCAATGTTGTGCCGTTATGAACAGTGCCAACTTTTGGCTGATTGTGCCCATGATCGTTCGCTATTAAATTTGAACAGCACCCATAGAGTAGGTCATGCATGCCTGTCCATATACATGTGTAGCAAATTGCAGCAGACTGTTATGAAGGGATACTTTTTACCTTTAAGTAACAGCTGCATTTTTCTGTTTTGGCAGGACTTGGGTTTGGCTTCTGCTCCCCCCTAATGCAGACACTTGTCGGCCATTACTTCCATAAGAAGTACGCCTGTGCTAACGGGTTTGCTACGGCCGGCATGCCACTGGGTGTGATGGCAATGGCACCTCTTACACAACTTCTCCTGGACGTCTACGGATGGCGTGGGGCTCTACTCATCTTGGGAGGGATCTCGCTTAACTTGGTTGCATTAACTCTCCTAACACGACCGCTTGTGAGTCACAAGGCATCCACCGATGTCGAGTCTGCTTCATCAGATCTCAGACGAATGTCCACCGAGGGTCAGCAGAGGAGCGCCCGGCTCTTGGAGCAAGGCAATACTGGCGAGCAACAGCGACGCCGGTCGTCCATCAGATCCCTAGTGGTTCGACCCGCTGCCATCATCAGCTCGGGTGGTAAACAGTTCGCCAAAGCGTCCGATCTCTCCCTCTTCAAGGAATTCTCGTTCGTGGTGGTCGTAATCGTGTGCTGCATCGTGAGATTTACGAAGACTGCCTGGATAATCTACTTCGTGCCACACGCCATCGACATGGGATTCGGCAAGTACGAGGCCTCCCTGTTTGTCACCGTCAACAGCGTGGGGAACCTGCTGGGGAAGATCGTTCATGGCCCGCTGATCGACCGTAAGGTGGTTACCAGGAAAGTGTTACTGATTATATCCACGACCGCGTCTGCAGCCGCTCTCTTTTTGGACCGTTTCATGGTGACCGTTCCGAGTATGATCGTTGGGCAGTTGGTGCTCGGCATGGGCGTGGGCATCGCTGCTTCGCTGTTCGTCATCGTCATCCGCAAAGTTGCTGGTATCAAGCGGCTGGCCAACAGCCTTGCATGGGCCAGTGTTGCCTCTGGACTGATGAGATTATTGGCTGGGTTTGTGCCAGGTACGAATTCGCATTGAATCCTACATGTCATAGTTATTACAATCATAATACAGTCGAACCTTGATAAGAACTGTTAATACAACATCCTGCTTATAACAAGGAAAATGTTAAGTCCCAAGATTTTGATTGATCTCCGTTTTCCATCACTGATAATACAAGGTACCTGTTATAACAAAGTAATACGCCCCAAGGACCTTGTTATAAAGTTGTTCGACTGTAGAAGGGATGGGGCAAGCCCTTTTGAGAAATGTGACCATACGCTTTAGTGCAGGTTTCAATTTTATTACCTGTCATGCACTACTAAATTATAAGAAAGTGTATACATGTGTTTTAGTTAGAACAGTTAGTTTAAAAACGATTGTACACTGCAAAGATATTTCAGATATATGAATTGGTGGCTAATTTTCATTCAGAGAGGTAAAGATTTGTTGCTTTGTATGGAAGATCAAGTTTCATGTATCCTTTCGTGCATGCACCGTACCCCACTAATCCACGGAATGTATTTATGAAAAGCAATATTTAAAACTGTAAACATGCATGTGTATACGGTGGATTACACTGTTGCATATGATTGGGCTGGATAAGCATCATTTTGTATGTAACCTGTGAACTATTAGGGCACACAATCGTGGAATATTTCGATCTATTGTTGACAAAAAGTCTCCCAAAAGACACCGTATTCCATTTCTCTTTGTACTGTAATTCAGGCTGGATTTACGACCAGACAAATAGCTACAACGACGTGTTTCTTGTGGTGGCCTGCGTGACGATCGTCTGTCCTGTGGTGGTTATTGCAGAGGCCGCCGTCTACAAGTTTTGCCGGAAGAAGGCACCGTTAGATGCACGATGGGAAGGCGTGATCTCCGATGACGATAACTGAATATGCGCATTCGGGAGATGTCAACGGCTGTTTACATTCCCCTTGCTACTACCTCACGTATAGTTTGCAAAAACTGGCTGGCAGTCATTGCAAAAACAGAAGAATGATTTTCAGGGCTTAAAATAGTGTCCTGCAAAGTGCGATCAAACCAATGGATAATTAAATGACAATACTCAATGCAAAATGAAGATATTTTCTTCCTAAGCAAGAGCGTGTAATATCTTGGGGGTTTTCTTTATTTTATATTCACGGTTGAAAATGAAAAGTGTTGTTGCCCGTCGAGAATTTCGATCCATGTTTGTGACCAAAAATGGTTCTGAAGGAAACGAAAAAGGGAGTTTTGATGAACCGAACATTGTGATAAAAAACAATGCACCAGTTCTTCCTTTATATCAGCCCTGTCACTTTGTCAGATGCACTTTGTTTGTGGGAAGCAAGTAAACAAAACAAAAAGAGCACATCATTACCAAATAGTCAGTTGGCGTCATCTCCCATATGCAATATTAGGTACATTCTTTGAAAAATTCAGGGATAAAACCCAAATCCTCTTGATGACATTTTTTCCTACCCCCAGAAGATTGTTTTCGCCGGGTATTGTTGTTGAGCCAAAATGAAAAATGTACAATTGAATACCAATTTTACTCCGCTGTTTTGTTGGCGGGCGTCCATTTAGGAAAAAAAAATGGCGAAATAAGCCCAAAAGGAGCTATTTATAAAGACTTTTTGCAGTAGATTAAAACCTTGAGTTGAGAATTACATGTTGAAACACAATTTTTGACAAACTTTCTCTTTAAGGGAACTTGGCCTGAGCAGTATAAGCAGTAAATTAAAAACAAAGTCCAAAATATTTTCGCTTTTATGCATTTTGTTTAAAAAAACGGGCAAAGTACAATTTTGTCCATAAATTCCATTTTGTTTCACTGCAATTAGAAAACAGAGCCGGAACGCCTTTTCTTTGAGGCAAATGTGACAAAGGGGGTTCTTTAGGGTGGATAAATAAATATATTACAAATATATAAGGGAAGAAAAAAAACAGGAAATGATTTTAGTAAATTTGAGTAAACAATCACATTTTGTGTCAGTTACAATTGTCAAATGAACATAAAGCAATTTGAGATACGTTTACAGATGTGTGTATAATAAAATATACTTTTATTTCTCTGATTTCAGACCAAAACACTTACATAAATATAGCCTTTCGTGTGAAATCACCAAGTTTTCCTACCACTAACTGTGTTAGGCCAAAAAAAAAAAATCTCCGGTTTCTGGCATGGAGCTTGCCCCAAAAGTGGTGCGGCGACGCGGCTGTTTTTTTAATTTGTTTTTCTTCAAATGTCGGCTGATGACTGCAAATCGTGCCCGACTAAATTTAGTGCAAAATATATGGGAGTCCAGAGAGACCACATACAGCTTATACTCGATCGTAACCCCATCTAAAAACACGTTAAAATTGTGCAGCAGCAGAATTCCAGTCAAACCAGTGAATTTGGCAGTTTTGAGACACGCATACCAGACCTCAGAGACTTTTTTTTGCCTTACGCCTCAAAAACAAATACATACCAGCTAGAATGCCATAGACAAATAGGTTTTCCTGTTTGCTTAAAATATAGAAATGTGGGTTAGATTGTTAGGTTTGTTTTGTTCATATGCAAGGTGGCCCCCTTTTGCGGAAAAACAGTGACACGCCCCAAAGGCGAACAAAAGAATTTTGATTCGACATGTTAACAATGTGACCCCCCCCCCCCCCCCCCGTTTACTAAACTGGATTGAAAATAACCGCACCGAGATTGCCAGTTGATCACAGATAAATTTTCTGTATAGGCTTTTTGTCTTCCCCCAATTTTGTTTAATGTCGCTCCATCCCAACAGAGGCAATATTCTGGAATTATTTTATTCCCAGGATGTAGCACTTGGGTGAGCTGTGCAAATGCGAACAAGAAACTGAGATATTATCGGAATCATTTTTGCCGGCGAAGCCAATGTCACCGGCCCACCCATAAAAGGGTAAGACAACGGGCCATATCAAGTAGTTTTGAACTTGTTGAGGCATCCATCAGTAATCCTGAGAGTTTCAAAGAGTGTACCCAAAAATACATATGGGACCCACAAGCCTATATTGGTGTTCCCTAACGTGGCTTACTTCGACATCTACCCCGACTTTCCACCTCAGTGTTGCCAAACTTCTTTGTTGACAAACTTCAAATTCATTCAGAGGAATACTGGTATTTTTACCTTATTAATGCTTGCTATTTAACCTCTGTAAACAATTTCGGTTTCATGAAATTTAATCCGAAATTCAAAAACGGCCGAGTGTTCCCCAACGTGGCGCACTTGAATAAATCTCGGAAAATTCCAATTTAATATTTAAGAATTTCTGTAAAGTTGATAAATTCTGATAAACAATTATTATCTCTACTTACATACCTAATTAGAAGTTTGTCAGAAAATTTTTTCGAGACATTTTCAAAGGGTTCACTGTGCACTTCGCAATAAAATCGGAAAATCACGCCAAGATAAAATATCCTTCTAACTTTGTAACGGGTACATGAACTCCTGATTTATGAACGGGAGTGCTTAGAACTTGATGAAATTTAACTTTCTGTGAAATTTCAGTTAAAACTTTTGCTCTTGCTAGGTGTTACGGGCAAAAAATCAAAGTGCGCCACGCTGGGGGCCGCGCCCTGTTAGGGTACATCAACAATACTGACGAAAAAGTGTGAAACTTCTGCCATTTTAATTTTACAGTACTTTTTTGGAGCAACAATGCAATGATTGTCAAATTCTGCGACTTACGAATAATGAACAATAAAACAAATTAAACAAATGCCATTATGTTAGACTCAAATTTTATAACATTAACGAAACAATAAGTTAAAAAGGCAACAATAATACGCCCAAAAGACGCGCGACAGTTTTATCGGAAGACTTCACTTTATATTTCTCGTTTACTGTTTCCTACAATTATGAAGAGGGGTGTAAATATAAGAAATGGTGATGTTTTATTTTAAAAATAATCTGTTAGTACCTTGGCAACTTTGTATATTAATACCGTGACTAAATGACCTTCGTAGGAGCGTTACATTCAGTGTGAGATGTAGCATGGTAACGTTACATTGTGGGTGTTCTGTAGAATATTGTACACACCGGAGATGGACGATGTAAACGCTGCAAAAAGAGACACCGTAATGACGATACAAATAACAAGGGTCTGGTGCCATCTCAAAGGACCCCTGCGTAAAAACAACGGAGAAAGAACACGACTTTAACTTGGGGATAGTGAAACTTGTACTGTGTCTGGAGCTTCCTAAAAAAACACTGACTCCGATGAGCTGAGAATTTTAAGAACCCCCCCCCCCCCAACATGACATATTTCTTATCGTGCTCAGAAAATTGTGCATTGTTTTTGACTGTCTTCTTGAAAAGTGTAATATCCACTGAGCTGAAATATCAACAGGTTAGTTTTGAACATTCTTCTTTTGATTTTGAGTGGTGTTAAGACTGGAAATGAAAAAAATGCGTGAAAAGCAAATGATCCATATGGTTTTTTTTTAAATTAAGGAGAGCTAATTTTGCAGTGCTGCAGAAGTGAACTAGCTCGGCACGCGAATACTTACTCGGGCTCGGCTCCATCCGGGGGCTCCAAGCTGCATAGTTTAAGGTACAAAACACTGGGAAGAATGCCGTTGACGGTTGCTGCCAAGGCGCCACCAACGACCGACAGGTAAACTGGAAAACTCGGCACGGACGCAGCCACAAATAGCATCAGTGCCGAGTAGGCAGACCTAAGCAATATCCGCTTCCAACTGATGTCTGAAGGGATAAAGGCAAACGGTAAAAGGTGCGTACGTTGCTTTTATCTTCCTACGTTCCGTAACTGGATCAGTTTAGATGTAAAAAGTGTTGGACACTCATACAGATGTTATGTAATACAGTTCTTTTTGTTGGAGGGAAAGGGGGCACCTCGGTTATTTTTATGTAGGGTAAGGGCAGCATCCAACAACATGAATGCTATGTCGAATCCTGTAAATATCGATTCGTTCATCTTGTTTATAGGCTACATACAGGGGATAAGCAGGGCCGAATAACAGCTAATCGTCATAACGACTATACATGTATGTTCTGTAGCTACTTCAACTGAGATCATGTAAACCTTTCGTAGACATTATGTTTGCATAAAGACCAGGCAAACACAATATCTGGGATGTGGCCTGAATTACCATCACCACACATGCTACAAACTTCGGAATATTGCCCTTGCAAAGAGCATCATCATCAAACAAGCAATCGTTCTTACGTAATGTTAGACCCTTTGTATTCCCATTCCCACTAAATTGGAATAAATTTGAATAAACTGTATTTTTAATTGCCACTAAATTTGAAATTACATCATCCCGACGCAAATTCCTTCTTATGACATTTTAAAAGCAAAACCCGTCCCACCTAGAGAGGGCGCTCTGGGAGGTTTTCGCAACGATTATCCCAGTCATGTGGACACAATGTGATTCCATGTAGGCCTAAACAGCGATGAGAAACTCCCACTTTTTCCCGAAAATAAAGCGAGAAATGTCCTCACCGTATGGGATGTTGAGATAGTTCTCCAAGTCCTGAAACGTAGGGTTGTTCATGAAGACACAGGCAGCAATCAAATGGGATGACAGCATGATGATAATGATGACCTGGATTGGTTTGGTGGTTAGCAGAGCAAGGACGTTATCCGCCCCGTGGATTTCGTAAATATTCCCGTAGATCAGAAACGTTGGCAAGCCGATGGCCACGTACGTGGTGCCGATTCCTGGAGTAAATATTTCAAGTGAGACTTCCGTCAGAGTTTTTCCTTTTTTTGGATCAAGTTTAGATCAAAATCAGATGCTAAACAGCAGGCAAGGTAATGGCAGTATAATTGTGCAGGTTGCCGTCTCATTAGTTTTGATAATTGTCTTCTTTAGTTTGCTTTTCCTTTTTTTTATGCTTTCCTTTGCTTGTGACAACAATAAATGTCTAAAACATAACATGACAAAATGCCCCCACCCCCCGTTCTGCCGCCAGTGCACTATATACGTTGTTACAGCACATGGCACATTTTACACAAAATATTATAATATACCCATGGTTGGCACTTCATTGCCAAACACGGTTTGGTTAAAAAGGCCAATACTGCAAAACTAAAGATAGTAATTACTGTTTTCAAACATAGATAATTTGGAAGGTCGAAGGCCTTTCTACACAATGAGGGTGTTGATATGCAATTTCTGGCAAAATCTGTTGCGACCACGGCTCAAATTTATGCCATTGTTGCAACCCATACAAAATGGCGCTTGCTGTTCACAAACGAAAGCAAGGTCTCGGCATATATGCCGAGAGTCACGACAACGTGTATGAGTTTACACACAGATAGTTTGCTTTTGTTCGTTTATAATCGTATTTTATGCACTAAACATGCAAGTCGAGCAACGTACTGACGTTAGTGCAAAATGCACCATTAATCGGAGGTACATTGTAGCCTACTTCAACTATAAACCCGCAAGGCAATATTGTCCCGACTGGTCGGTACTACACGACTAGGGCCTATACCGACTATAGTGAAGTTTACTAGTTACACAGCACTAACATGCAGCTCGATTGAATAATACATTGCACGCACTTTTTATGCATTGCATACATTTGTATAGATGCTGGTAGGGGCTTTGTCTATGAATAATGATTGGTACTTTTGTAATTATTCCCGAGATTTATTTTATATATGAAAACCGCTTACTGTATCGAAAAAATATAATGCGCCCATTCAGTTCATAGACAAGTACGGAAAATATGATAAACCTTTTTAAAGAATAGGTAACAGTGAGCAACCATGTTAAATCAGACTATTTTATGTTCGACATTATACTTAATTTACCGTGTTCATGATTGAAATTGCAGACATAAATTCGGACAAATGTTTTCTGAAGAAGGGAAAGGAAATGTGGTTATGGCTGCTATCACAAGAAAATTGTGCAAGCTTTGTGTCAGCTTTACTGTGCAGAGTTACAGTCCAGGGAACAGCTCTGTATGAAAACTGGCGTATGTTTCCGCCATTACGGGGGGGGGGGGGGGGCGCCTGTGAGTATAAAGTTACTCTGTGCCCGGATTGGTTTACATACGAAGGTTTCTCCTGATAGAGTTTTTCTTTCACACGAGCGCCATTTGATATGGGCTGCCATAATTCCAAGGGCATGCATTTTAACTGCTGCTGCCAAATTTACAGGTTGATAATAAGGGCCCTCATTATCATTTTTTATTAAGTCTCCAACCATGGGTTATCACCATAATTATGGAGGTCAACGTCGCAACAATAAAGACCGATTTGTAATGTTTCCAAACATGTCATTGGATTGTTGAAAATACACATGATGGTTTATTTTGTATTAATTTATATTCGACACTTCAAAAGTAAGACGCGGCAGCCCGAACTAGGGTTAGCGCAAACCAACAGGCTTGCATGAGCAACCAGGACCCCTTGAACATAAATTTCTTACCAAGGAATCAACAATTTTAACCATTAGTGAGACGGACTCACCGAGATAGCCCAAAGCGGCCGACAACTGCATATCGGCGGGACTTTTCATGTCGTGCTGGAGCGTAGGAATCACAAATTGGCCCCCGAAGGCACTCATGACCAGCCCCATCGCCCCTGCCACAGAGGCAAAGGTGGGTGTGACGGGGCCCGGGTCGGGATACTCCCCGATGTCTAAAATGGAACCGGTTATGAGAGCTAGGGTGCCCAGTACTGTGGTCGATCCCATGGCGATGCCAACAGCACTGAAGAAAGAAAAGTATTCAAATGAAGGCAATTACAGGAAGGCCAAGATGCATGCATACACAGAAATGATGATGGCGACTTTTCTTTATCCTAACAGAATAGTCTAGTGCTGATATTTTTTTTATTTTTTTTTCGAAATACATATTCTGGTCAATATTATTGTAGCACAGGAATGTGCAATATGATCACTGCCATGTTCCTCACTGGTTTTTAGTGTATCGCTTTTTATGCCTTTTTAATTTTTTTATGACTCAGTTTTTCCGATGACTTTTCATTTCTTATGATGTCACTTTAAAGCCCAAAAACTTACACCATATCCTTTGGGGTGCCGAACCACAGCAATGGCGCTGACCCCGCAATAATGACGGGTATCCAGACACACAGCGAGATTCGCACGTCCAGAAGGCGAAAGAACAGCGACAAGCTATCGGCGGCCACCAGGTACAGAGCCACGCTGAAGCCGAATGAATACAGGCCTATCAAGACGGCGGTGACCCGCCTGAGAACAAAATTACAAAAATGAAATGTTCGAAATTGGTATTGTTGTCTGCAGCTACAGTCAAAAATCATAACACAGTCTTGATTGAATAAGTCTCTCACAGTGCCAGTGGCGGTTCTAGGGGGGGGGGGCTTTATCCCCCCCCAAAAAAAATGTGTCAAAATGGATGTCCATCACGTTAGCATATTCTGAAAAAAAAAAACATTTTCGCCATTCTGAATCAATTGATTCAATATTTGTGCAGTCTGAGACCAGCTTTACTCAACCTCGTCCCCGGGGCTTACTTTTTTCTATCTCGTCTCCAATAGTTAGTCTTGTGGTCCGCATACAAAAACACACGCTAACGTAAAGCACTGGCAGGGTGCCTGACTGAAGTTGAGCTTTACTAGGCATGCCTTGTCTTGTTTAAAGGGAAGATACAACATTTGCAAACATCACAAAACGAAATGGTCATATTATCGCGAAATACCTTATTGGATTGTTAGGGAATGACAGTCTTAAGCATCCTGTAAAATCGTGGCTCTTGGTGTGCTGACATTTTCAAGAAAAATTGTATTTTTCCAATGCTGGTCGGCCGACCAGCGTTGGAGAAAACTGGCTAGTTTTTAAAAAAATGCTTCGAATTTTTCATAATTAGTTATTCCGCATTTTCTTTGCAATTGATTACACACCTGTGAAGAGGTACAAGTCTGCTAGACTGATTCTCTCACCTAACAATTCCCCAAAGTCTATTAATTGCTCCGTTTCATCTTAAGTGGGGTCAGGGAACTAGACTGCAAGAACATGATTGGTTTTCTTGGTTTTTTCCAGCATCTGCAAGCCCAAACGTGAAAAAAATTCATTTTAACAATATTTGCTATATTAATCCTCCAAATCCATTTATTTCTGAAAATAGCAGCAAAAGCAAATGTTGTACATTCCTTTTAAACTGTTATGAACAACCGCACAAAAAAAAAATCGGTCGAATAGCACAAGGAAATTAAACACATAATCGGCTCACCTTCCAACATCCCCAAAGGTCTCGTAGCCAATGGACGGGTACGGGAATCTGTTAATCTCGTCCCGATATTTGGCCGGAAACCAGTTCATGAGGACAAGCCAGGATCGCGCCAGGAGCACTCCCGTGAATGTCGAAGTGGCCATTGCGATCAGCATGACGATAAAACCAAACCAACCTGCACGGATGTTACGGGGAAAAAAACGCCGTTGGCTCCCGCATAATATATGTACAAACAACTGAACAAAATGACTGCGTTTCTTTTCTGCTAATTTCCATATACATGTACTGCCTAAGGCCTTTGGTCTCATTGTGTTGACTTCAACACTTCAGTCACTCACAAATGAAATAGCTAAGATTTGTAGCAACTTATCCGTCCATTTGAAAAGCTTGGATCCGCCATACCCCTGGAGCTAAAGTGTCACATAGATCCCGACGCGGATCGCTTCTACAAGAGATTGAGGGCGAGGCTCCAACCCACTTCAATCACAATTATAGCGACAAAACAATATTGATTGACTGGACGCCTCACCTGCCTCGCTTAAGGCTTTCGGGAACCAGATTAGTCCCCCACCTACCACCTTGCCTATAATCATGAACACGACTATTGGAACCCCCAGCTTGCGATGAACCTGGAAGAACAAAATAGGAGACAATGGTCTGACAAGACATGTCGTAATTTCCAGTTGTTTTGACAGCACTTCTGTTTCTTTACAAGAGTGGCCTCGTGGTTAAGGGCACTGGATTCGTGGTCTGTGGGTAAAGCTGCAGATTGTGGGTTCGAGTCCAGCCGGGGTCATGGTGCGTGTGCCCTTGGGCAAGTCACTTTGTCACTCATTGCTTCTCTCCAACCAGGAGTGCGCCTAACAGGCAGCATCGAGCTGTATACTCCCCAGGGAGCTGAGATGGTATTTGGAATGGTTAATTGCCCAGTGATCAGGGGTAATAATAATACTGTAAGCGCTGTGATTTAGTTTGCTACTAAGAGCGTTCTTAAATGCCGATTATTATTATTATAAGAGCTTAACGGTGGACCTTGTTCTCACTAAATAATAAATCGATAGGAAAATCCGACTTCATTAGACCATGTCACACTTGTCTACAAACTTAGATGTTGTGTTCACGCGAGTCCGACATTCATCATACATGTACGACAAGTCGACTCCCGTTATAACGAGCTCGGTCATAACGATAACCCGGATGTAACGAGCACATTCTCCCAGTCCCGATCAATTTGTGTACATTACTATGGGGAAATGTTTGGTTATTACGTGCACGGACATAACGAGACTTCGGCTATTACGACGATTTGGCCGACCCAATGCGAGGAAAAGCATTGTTCTCAACCCATTTACAACGACATCTTTTCAAAACTACGGGCATTGCAGCTTGTCAAGCAAGATTGTATCGCCAACTGCTTTCGTAAAGCAGGTTTCGATACAGATCTTCAGGTGACCGACGAGCCAAGTGATGAGGAGATTGCGGCGGAGATAACAGCAGAGAGAGCAGGCGATGGTCCAGATGACGACGAGGAGGAGGCGGCGGCGGAAGCAGAGGAGGTCCAGAAAGAACAACTAACTATCCGGCAGTGCATCAACATGATGACTCAAGTGCAACACTTCCTTTGCACTCGGGCCAACATGACAGATGAGGTCTACCACAACGCATCAAGAACACAGCATCATAAAATAAACGGCTCTTTTCAGAGCCAACACAACTTCCAAAAAGAGATAATTCAGTCCGTCTTGAAAAAATAAAGTTTAAAACATACTGTGGTCCCCACCCCCAAAAAAGGTTCATCCGAGGAATAAAAAAATAAAAATCTTAAAACAAATAAAGAACCCCCTCCGGCCCCGCCGAAAAAAACAATCCCAATGAAAACAGCTAGGTTTCCAAGAACTTCAAATGCCCCACCACATGTACAAATGTTACTCCGAAAGTACTGCTTTTGTTTATTTATTATTATTAACTTAAAAGAATCCCTCCAGAGAAACAATAATCACCAATCGCTGCGAAAAGTCAAAGTTCAATTACACATGGAGACACTTAAACCCGGAAGTAATATTAGCGCCCTCTCTTGCCCGATTCCAGCAAATGCAAAACGAAAGCAAAATGTCACTTGGCACGAATGTGCGCTATAGTTAACCGAAAAAATTTCAAAGAATCCCTTCAGAAACAATAATACCCAACTACTCCAAAAGGTCAACAACAAAAAGTAAAGTTCCACATCTAAAGATCATTAAAACCTGGAAGTAATACATGTATTGGCGCCCTCTCTGGCCCGATTCCAGCAAATGCAAAATGAAAGCAAAATGTCGCTCGGCACGATCTGTGCGAGTGACCTACTTACCTGATTCTTCTCAGCGATTCTTCTCAGCGATGATGCCTTTTCCTCCGGATTCAGGTCCTCAAATATTAAACAATGTTCCCTTAAAGGTATTTTATTTATTTTATTTATTCATCACCATCAGTTAAATATTTAATGTACATTAATAACAGACGTACATACCAACAAACGACTATCCTTTTCATGTCTTCGGACGTGTGTTGCACGATTAAAACACGCGCGCACATGTACCGTACCTTGTGCACAACGAATGAGGAAAACTGCGCTCCGGTTTTAGCGAGGTTCCGGCTATAACGACAGTATTGCGAAAGTCCATCGGACCTCGTTATAACGGGAGTCGAGTGTATTATATATTGCTCTCTTCTGCGCTACGTGTATCTCACTTGAGGTATCCATATGTGTGTGATTAAAAGTATCGAGATTTTCCTGCATTATCTGAGAAAATTACATGAAGAAAAGGTGGTTGTTTCGTTCATCAGCAACCGACGTGCTGACGATACAAGGGACAGGTCGGACAGGATTTGAAACATTCTCCCAATCTGTATTTGATTTCCTTTCTTCCATAGCCGGGAATTCATTTTTTTTAAAATGACTATGACAGACTAACACATTTCTAAAGCTGACAAATATTTGGATCTCAAAATTGCCTTATTTTACTCAAATAATGCGAAAAGCATGGAGAAACATATAACAAAAACATACAATTATACTGTGCACGGAAAAGGACCCAATTCTGCGTACGTGCATTTTTTCTTTTCGAGTAGCCTAATTAAAATCGGTAACATCCACGCTCGTCCAGCCGAAATGCAATTTCACTCATCGCCTAAACCGTTGGCAAGCCTTACCAGCTTATGTTAATTTCCACATCGTATTTGATACCTTTATACTTCAGATCATCAATTGTCTATTGCTAATTACTAATCTAACTCTAACCTTGCACCTTGCACCGTGTTCAATTAATTGTCGAATCCAAACTTACTGGTAGTTGCTGGCCGTCATCTGCAGCCGAGTCCCCGGCGCGTCTCCCGGCAGCATCAGGCGGCAGCTCTGCGCTCAGTAGTTCAATCTTCTCGGTGTTTCGCTGTTTCATCGTTGGTATCGATTACACTGATACCAGCTGTCGATTCTGTAGGTCCAACTTGAAACATATGGTAAATTTATTTCATTGGTTTACAATTTTATTTTGCAAAGTCAAACAAAATCTCAGGCGCCTAGAACGTCGTTGGCAATCATCGAAACTCATGTCGATAGCCAAATTTTCAGAATTGAGAGTCATTGCTACGGTCAGATAATTATTGTAACTGCAACTCACGTGAACTCGTTCATTAAGTTGACAACATGTGCAAATTTACGTCACTAACAGAGAGTTTCTCTCTTTTCAAGGGACGAATCCAGAACACGATTTATTTTTATTTATTTAATTTTTTTTTTGGGGGGGGGGGGAATTTGGTCCCTCAAAAAGTAGGCCCAAACAATTATGACGAGGGCCGGGTTCGGGGCCCGCTTAAAGGCCCCGAAAAACATTGGATTCTAGATGCTCTGTGGTGCGATTTGAGTCAATTTCCACGTCTTTTTAAAAGAAAAGACGGTGGTGTACGCAGTGCCAACCTTAATTGCGACGTCACTTAAAAACAATTGGGTTCGTTTTTCTGGTGGGGGCATGACCACCGTTCCCCCCCCCCGACCCGCCCTTAATTGTCTTTTTTACGTGGAGAAATTGAGCGGATAGCAAGTGAGCTTCAGACAAGCACCCATGACACTTCACACATCCAGGTCCGTAGTTGTGACACTGTAGGCCCTATGCGATGATTTTGCGCCATTGTCTGCACAACAAGATAAGAGATTTATAGTCACTTCCCGTTAAACTACTCCTGTGACGTCATTCTATTCAGTAAAGTGTCGATTATTTTTTAAGAATGTACAGTTAAATGTACATTTTTAAAAGAATGCACGGTCAACTTAATATAAGTTGTGAATCCCACAGGTTTTGTTTTGAACAATTCCTTTAATGGGTTTAATTGGAAAAGTAACCGTTTGTAAAATAAATGTTCAACTGAGTTTTTGGGTATTTTGAAAATAAGGTTCCTGACTTCGCCGTAGATTGAAGGAATCTTTTACAGTACATCTGTACATGGACAATAACAGTGTATCTTCGTGCTGGCCATGGAAAAAACCGGAAAATTCAAAGAACTTTGAAATTGGCTTTAAAACGATCTTTACTGAATTTCACGTTTTCGCTTTCAATTTTTTTCATGTTCATATCTAGTCGTAACCCATTTACTTACAGTTTTATTATAACTTTTCCTTTGTTATTTAAGTAATGGCTCGTAAAAATAGAACAAAAGGGACAATTCGTTGACAATTATAGAGAATGGATGCATAACTGAATAATCAAATTGACTGCCAGAAACTTACCAATCAATACTTCTCAGATGATATTCCAATTTTATGTAATTTCCAAACAAAATAATTCCTGTGGTGACTGAGATATTTTGATTTGTACTCCAAGGTCAGCGGTCTTCATCTGAGTGGACAAAGTATTCCACAAATAAGCTGCTCGCCAAACTTCCTTTTGGTTGGTGTTAGCACGGATCCTAGGCACCAGGATAAACGACTGTTCTGAGCTCTAGTACAAAATGCACTCAGTGGACTTGCCTTACTTGGTTAGACGTGTGATAACAGGCATTAATACCCGTTGCCGCGTAATCGCGAATTTTCCAGATGTGCCATTGTGTTGGGTTTTTGCACGACATCTAAAACGGAAATATTCATAAAATTGTAAGTAAAACTACTTCTTATTTAAGATATCATTGTTCCAAATTATTTAAAAAATAAATACTTCAGGATATAACAGATGGTATTGTGCAGTTTTTGTCGTCATAGATGAAGTATTTACCCGGGAAATAAACGTCAAATTTCAAGGAGAACGCCGTTTACCCAAATTTCGTTTTTAATTAGGCTTTTATTAAAACGTTTTAGAGAGATTGGATGCCGGATGCCGAACCGATGAAACAAAAGCGACATTTCACTGTTCATCTTAAAGCTAAAGCTATTGTGCTCGGCATTACCATGGTTATGTAGTTATCACTTATCAAAATTCAATAATAAAGACCAAAAACGTAGACTCATGAATATTCAAAAATATAATTCGCTGGCTTGACAGACTTCGAGGCCAGATTGGGCGAAGAGCCTTGCAAATCTGAAAGCCGCCGTGCGCAGGGGTCTTTGTTGAAAAGTATTCATGGTATTTGCCACCAGTACAGGCCGTTATCACGCGTCTAACCACGAGTTGGCCGAGTTGTTAATCCTTGTGTGTAGGATCCGTGGTGTTAGATCCCGTAGGCTCGTATCGATAGCATTTTAATAGTTTTTTTTAAAATTCAGTATAGGTGCGTATATAGCTGCAACACTAACATACATGTACATGTGTAACTCCATCAGAGTGGTAAGATTGTGTGTATGTACATATTACAACCCACCAATGGTGTCTGCATTCATGTGACTCTGCATACATTTGCAACAGTCCTGAATCCTCCAAATTTAATATGCTTTTCCACCCCTTAGGGAGTTAGGGTTAATGTACTGGGCATAGTAAAGAACGGAACAAAAGTTGTGCACCCAGGCAGAGGGTTAACAATAAAAGGGCCCGGAGGTAAGGCTTTCACACAGCTATCCATTGCTGAACAAAGCATTAATAAGAATCGACACTTTGTGTTCCCTTGTAAACCGGACAATAATTGCGGGAGGGAACGACAAAATAACTTTTATCCAGCTGCGGCCTTGAAACTATCCATACAGGCCTTCTGAAACGATGTGCTAAATGAACTTGCACAATCATCGCTTGCATTATCAACAGATCACTTTCAAATGGAATCTACCAGTGATGTAGTGCCTTGATGCTGGGCCTTGGCCTTAAGGCTGCCTTAAGGCTGGATTTTAGGGCCTTGGCCTTGGCCTCGAGGCTTGAGGGCAAAAGCCTTGGCCTTGGCCTTGGCCTTGAGGGTTCAGGGCCTTGCAATTTTGAGTCAAGGCTCTTCAAGGCCCATAGAGTTTTGCATTTTCCAGATAAATCTGTTCGAAATTTTGCTGTTACCATTTTAATCGTATTACATGTACGATGGAGGAGGGAAGCACCATATAGATTTGTGTGTTAGGCACACTTCCACTTTTATAGCATCACATGTTGTTACCATTGTAGTAGATTTGCTGCAACAATATTCCGTACACTTGTGGGGCTAATGAGATGATCACTTTAATTGCATATAACTATGGAATAGATTTGATTGGTTGTATATGTCTCCCTGATAAGTGCTAAAGATTTGCATGTATCTGTTTTAGATAATGCTGATATTTCTGACCATGTTGGGCCAGCAAATAAAAATTTCCCAAATCAGTTTCTTGGATCCCCCTTTTGTTACACTTGGGAGAATTGTGTGTCAATATAGAAGTAAATCATTATTTTGTTTAGTTAAACCATATTGAAGACCTGAACTTATACGTTAATAGATACAGTGCAGTCATAAAACGGTGTAGGCCTATGCGAGCATGTTGATTGCAATTAAGAAATGTTGTTCTTCGTAACGAGCAATTCGTGATGATAAGGCCGGATCCAGGGGGGTCAAAAGGGGCCACGCCCCCCCCCCCCCAAAAAAAACGAAACCATTTTTTTTTTATGTGACGTCGTAATAAAGGCAGGCAATGAGTACACCACCATCTTTTCCTAAATAAACATCGGTTAAAATGGTCAGAAATTGCCTCAAATCGCACCACAGAGCATCTCGAATCCAATTTTTTTTCGGGGCCCTTAAGCGGGCCCCGAAGCCCAAGCCGTAATCTTTTGACCCACTTTTTTTTTGGGGGGGGGACCAACATTTCTTTGCCCCCCCCCCCAATTGTGTTCTGGATCCGCCCTTGCGTGATGATGTGTCACTCATGTGACTATAATTAGTTCTATATCATTGGTCATTTCATAAAACAGGGCCTTGGCCTTGGCCTTGGCCTTGAGGGTTAAGCCTTGGCCTTGGCCTCGAGGCTTGAGGGTCGAAGCCTTGGCCTTGGCCTTGGCCTTGAGGGTCAAAGCCTTGGCCTTGGCCTTGGCCTTGAGGGTCAAAGCCTTTGCTCCAACACTGGAATCTACCCTGACAGCCTAAAATGTGCACACACTTCTGAAAAATTTGAACTTGGACTCTGAGAACTTTAAGAATTACTGTCCTGTGGCCAACGGTTGAGCGTGCAACTGTCTGTCAAATTCAGCACTACACATGTCACCCAATTATATACGATTATCAGTCTGATCTAAATCAAGAAGCCTGATGAGTAAAATTAAAGCGTGGTCTGCTGTAAACGGTATGAAACTGAACGAGGAAAAGACCGAAGTGCTCCATATGTCCTCCCGTTAGAGACAAACAAAATTCCACCCACCACCATCGACAATTCTTCTCCTCAACCAATTCAAAGTGCACGAAATCTTGGTGTAATCATTGATGAAATCTAACTATGGTAAAGCACATCAATAATGTGTCGTGCTTCTTCCTTTGGCCAAAGTTTTAATGACTCGAGTCAATGAGTCGACTTGAGTCTGACTCGAGTCACAATTTTTGATGACTCGAATCGACTCGAGTCTCTAAGGGCAATTGACTTGACTCGATTCGAGTCACTGCGAGCAAATGACTCGACTCGACTCGAGTCACTCATCAGAATGTTGACTCGACTCGAGGAAGGCTAATAAAACTTGATTCCCAAAAATGCAAGCAAAACCTTGCGAAAAATATTTGCAGTGCTGGTATTTGTTCACGTCACGTAAGAATGTTCGCGAATAATGTATACAAATACATACATGGTTTGATCAGTGTCCCCATCAGTTGAATGGCGATCACCTGGCTCCCCGTTTTCAAATCATTAAGAGTCAAATGCGGTGTCACCACATGTAGTAGCCGGAATGTAAAATTAAATAAGCCAAAAAATGACTTTCTCTCTTGTGTTTATTTATTGTATAGTGTTCAAATATTTGTGACTCGAATTGACTCGAGCTAAATACTTGACTTGACTCGACTCGATTCGACCACACACTGTGACTCGACTCGACCTTCTTGAACTAATGAGTCACTTCTTGACTCGAGTCACTTCTTTAAAATGACT